TGTTGTTGTTGTTGTTGAGGGAATACATTAACAAGATTATATTAAATTGATTTCCGCCAAGGAAACAACTCCTTGTAGAATATTGCCAACACAAAAATAACGATTACCTAACACTGATTTATGGCATGTTCACTTCAGCATAATTTCAGTTCAGCTTCAATCAGTTCAGTTCAGTTCCTAATTTTCTTCTCTCATAAAATATCATTTCAACTCTAATTAGTTCAGTTCAACTCCAATCAATTATGTTCAGTAAATGTGAACAAACCCTTAATAAATTTTTTTCTAATTAAATGTTCAATAGTGACCAAATAATCTCACTAAAACTATTGATCTGATCAAATACCCTATATCTAGATCGAATAATATTAAACTGGATATTCGGATATTTTTAACTCAGCCCTAGTCAAAATAAAGCAAAAGACAACAAAATGATACGGAGTACACCCAAAAATTTGCCATATTTAACAGATAGAAATGGTAGTAAATTTAATCGCTAATTGACAAATAGTACCAAAAAACAAATAGTACGTACTGAATCACAACAGCGTATTGTCATTTGCTTTCAATTGAAAGAAAACAAATTTAATAAGTCGAAGAAACAAAGATAAGTGGTCATTATTTTCTTAACAAAATAATAATAATAATTAATAATAATATAAGTTATGGTGTCTTTTTCACCTTTCATAAGGAAAGGTTAATATAATGCAAATGCCTAAACCTAGGATATTAATTAGATTTTCTACAATCCAATCCAATCATGTAATGATGAGCACTTCATTTGACATAACAATCAATATTTACTATTATCAATACCTTAATTTAATCTATAGGAAAAATCATGTTGGATCTAGGTAGCTACTATACTTAGTATCATATTCAGTTTATGTTTTTCTTGTTATAGTAAGTAATCAAAAAAAAAAAAAAAAAATTAACAATAATTATTAACCATTGTCAAAAGTTCTATCATATCTTATTATGTATCAATAAACAAGAATATAAGTACTATTAGAAGAGAAGTTTAAAAAATTAACTTGCCGCTTTATAAAATTAAAGTGTGTTCCATTGACATTGGAGGTAATTAATATAGAATTTGATGACTAACTATAGAGTTATATGGTAAAATAATAGTTAGTTAGATAATCCATAGTATTTGGAAAAAGGTAGCTTCAAATAGAGGGGGGATATATCATATTATGATTAGGATGAAAGTGGTCAGGTATGAATCGTGTGATACATTTATCCCAATAAAATTGTTTAACTTAGCCAATTATGTGTGATTAGAGTAATCTTTTTAATGGATATTATTTAATAATCTCTTGATTTGATTTAAGAATTATAGTAACTTCTCTTAACTACGTTTCTATTTCTAACATTTATTATTCACATAATAAAGAGAAATAGACACGTAGTTAAAGGATGGAGGGAGTCATTTGTATGAAGTATCTTAGGACCTGTTATCTTCAGATTATTTTCAGTTCATTTCAGTCCAGTTCAATTCAGTTCCAATAAGTTCAGTTCTTAATTTTCATCTCTCATAAAATATTCAGTTCGATTCAGCTCCAATAAGTTCAGTTCAGTTCAGCTCAGTTCGGTTTAGTCAATCAGAACAAGCCTTTAATCACTATCAATGAATAAAATAAAAAATTAAGGGTTCGTTTGGCATCACTGTGCTTTTGCGTTTTTTGTTTTTAAAATAATATGATATATGTCATAAAATGAATCAAAAATTATTATTATTATTATTATTATTTGATCAAATTCAAAAATTAGTTAAACTAGTTAAAGTCATGATAATTTTGAAAACTGACAACAAAAAAGGTGAAAACTCCTTTTTATTGTTTCCTGTTTTTGGTTTTTTGTTTAAAAAAAAAAAATTGAAAACAAAAAATAATGCCAAAAAAAGCTCTAAATTTATATTTTTGCAATTAGATTTTAATTCTTTGCCCGTAGTAACCAAATTGTAAGAGAGTTTTTTTTTTCCTTTCAAATTTGCCTTTTGAAATTAAATTTAGACATTATTTTTTTGCGGTCATTTTGATGTTCAGGCTAGTCACAAAATTATGAAATTACAGTCTACATTGAATTCAGAAATTGGCATGTATTTCTGTTTGTCTTTGCCTTTGATTTACAGTTGTGATTACTAGTTTGGTCATTGATGTAGACATAGTGTCAAAGTCCATTAAAGTTTGTAGCATCTAATCTTTCATTTCTAGTACGCTATCTCTGTTGTTTTTATGACTCAAATCCTAGCTTGAATTATAACATTCAGACTGACCACTAATAATAAGCCAAGCTCAGTCTGAAACACACATTCAAGGATTTGACACTAATTCACCACCTTTAATTCTTCATAAAGTACTCCTATTGTAATCTAGAATATTGAGTACTAATCATTACTATTATTGATATCCTCATGTAATAAACACACGTCCTAAAATGGCATAATTTGTATATTGATCCAAAAATCACGTTATCCTAAATTAAATATCATTGCTTAAAGTTACATATATGCAACAATAAAAAACTGAAAATTCCTCATACTCCATAAGTCTGTAAGGCTGTAACTAAATTTAATCTATCGGTTGAGCCATAAGTTGTATATTGATCCAAAAATCACGTTATCCTAAATTAAATATCATTGCTTAAAATTACACGGTATATATGCAATAACAAAAAGCTGAAAATTACTCATACTCCATCGGTCTAAGACCGTAACTAAATTTTAATGTGTCAATTGAAATATCAAATCAATAGAGAGAATATATGAATACAGCATGTGTAACAAAGAAATGAGACCCAAATATTATCAATGTACATGTCTAAGGACAAAATTAAAAGAAGGTTAGAATTTTATGTATAGTTGAAAACTCATAAAACATTTAAATATTTGAAGAATATGGAAAAGGCATCAGCATAAAATTGACAAGCACGTACGAGTACATAACATTCCGAGTTTCCGACCAACAACTTTGATTAATTTTTAATCTGGCCTTTCAGATTGCTTGTAATATAATTAAGCCAACTTGTTAATATTAAACTCAATTTTAATGTACGATCAAAGGACGGTAATCTATTCGTTTAAGAACCGGGCCCACCTCTAATAACTTTATTATTCAGTCACAAACCTTACAGCATAGATTCCATGAAGATGATTTAGACCATTATTAATTTCTTAATCAACGGAACGAAAAAAGGATTTCATTAATCAAATTTAATAATCATTTTGAACATAGAAACAAACAGTAATCCACGCGGACGACAATGACCACTAATTACTCCTACTACTTTAGTTTGCGTCTTTTATGTAACGCCACTAACAACTACGAAGTTTATAATGTACAACAACCTGTTATTTGGAACGACTATTGAATTGGGTTTGGATTAGATCATTTCTAAGTTTTAAACCATGGGATGATCTACCAAGTTGATAAACATTGTATTTCATTATTTTCATGCCCAAGGTATTAGATAAAAACACTAATTTGTAGTTCGACGTTACAAATTGACCCTAACCCTAAATCTAAACCAAGCCAAATTTTAAAAGTTAAACTCAAATATCGTATGGGTCTTGCCTCATGCCGAACTCACATGCCTGGTGATGGCTAGGCTCGACACAGGTAATGTGCCATTCCTAGACAGGTTCAATCCATCGCGATCATTACCTCCTCTTGCTTTACCCTATCAAGAAGTATTAAGTCCATCACTTGAACAACTAGAACAAGAAAATAATTTTAGTAAACTCAATAATTTTGTCACTTTAAGTGGAAAACAAAAGTCTCTGACTCTAGTTTTGGTTATACAATAGGGAAAATACAGGGTACAATCGCCTAGTTGTAAGTTGTAAGGGATAAGTATACAATTATACTATACATTAAAAAGGAGGACAAAAATAAAGTATACAAAACTATATGCCCAACATATGCAGAGAAACATAATTCTATAGTCCAAACAAATTAAATAAAAGCAGTAACATATTTAATATGTCTCACAATCATAAGGAAGAGACCAATAACTTCCATATGTATATAGTATAAATGCCCTCTTAATGTTTCTAAAAATAGTAAAGTATATTTACAAATTAATTATTTGACTGAAATTTTAGAAATCCAGTTAACAACACACCTTCATAAAAGTCACTAAATAATGCAAATCTAGATCTTTAAGCTTCTTTTTCAAATATCTAACAGAGAAACAGTCGATCATGTGCCAAATAAAAAGAAGAAAAAATTAAGACTAATTAACTTCAAATAACATAGCTTTTGTGTTACTTTAATTTATCTAAATTGACTATTTGAGATCCAGCATGCAAATCTTTGACCTTGATTGTTCTTTTGTTTTGTTATACAGATATATACAAGTATATAGTAGTTTAATTTAACGCAATATAAATGTGCAACTTAATATAATAAAGTAGAAGATTTATGCAATCTTGGAAACCATATAAACTTCAATTAGAAGCCAAAGGCCGACAGAGTTATCGATTTTTTTTTTTTTTTTTTTTTAACAATTTAGATTACAAATAAGACTAATAAGTTTAGATCACTTCAGTTAAAGAGACGGTTAAAAAAAAAGAAGGTTACATTCTGTGCAAAATGAGCTCAATAGGAGTAATACTTCCACGACGATTTATACAAGACTATATAAAGACATAATATGAACTTATGAGAATAAGTCCTCTCCAAGATCAAAACATGAAAAACACCTAAATATGGATTTTGAAGTACTATACAACGTATTCATATTGAAAATTAATAAAACTATGATATAATATTGAAATTGTCAAAAACAATGACGTCTAGAAAGTTCTGCAATGTCAACTTTCAAAGCTAAGCCCATGATGCTCGGACAGGTATATAATTAAAACTGCAAGCTCTATTATTTTAGTATATAATGCAACACATAATAATTGATATAATGAATTATGAATAGTATAATAATAATAATTAATTGCTTGGTCAAACATAATTAAAAAAGAAGTTTTGGTTGAACAATTGGGCTAATCAGCCAGCTTAGACACTTCTTTAGGCGGCGACAAGGGTTCATGAAGGAATGATGTTGTAAGTAACAAGAATTTGGCTTATAATGTCACTCATCATGCTTTTAATCTTCAGTTTTAAGACTGCTATTATCTTGATAATAAGAATTTATCTACAGTAGTATTTTTTACATAAAACCTAAGTAACATAGATCGTCCAAGAAAGAAAAAATCAATACTTTGTACTTTAGAGTATGTAGAACAACAACATAATCTACCCAAAACAATACCTTCTTGTAACCTAGAGTCAATATACGAGTTTAAGATACACACCCTCTATTCAAAGATTTATGATAAAATTAACTACTCAATCTTATGTTACTCAAACTCGCCAAATGTGCTGGAGTTGTAAACAAAGTTGGACAACAATACATCTAGGTCCCTTGGATATATAAGAGTAGAGCTTGTGACTTTAACTCTCAATAGACTCTTTGAAGAATGAAGATGAGATCCTCTAACTTAATTCTCACTGTATAAGCCTGATTGAGCTCGAGATACTTTGAGGGTGAGATGCCTCACCCAACCCAAGTGCGCTTCCTTACCTAAAGAACCAAAAAAATGCTACGTTTAAAAGATTGTTCAGGATCAAGAAAAGTATTTTGTCACATAGGGACTACATGGGCATGACAAGGTAGGTAAGAGTATATTTAAGTAACAACACAATACCACATTGTCTATTTATGAATTTATTGCACTAGTACTCCACTGAACCTATACACCGAGGACAAATTCTCCACCTTAAATCAAACATAAGCACTTAAGCAATTTTTATACATAAAAAATTTTAGTCAATTCAATTGAAACTTCCATTTGTTTTACAAAAATTGCATTAGATATAATTGATATTATAAAATGACCTAGAATGTCATATTGATTACATTCATACTCCAAAAGGATTTATATTTGGGTTCAAAAACAAATAGCTGAAACAAAGGGTATAATCAAAGGGAGAGAACAAATTATAGGAGACAAATAGAAACAAAGTGACAATAACAATATCATGTTCTTGTAAAAACAAGAAAGAATTCCTTGAAATGAACAAAATTTAGTAGTTTACATCTCAATATTCAAGTCTAACAGACTTCAACAACCAGCCCTAGTCAAGCTGCAGCCTAGAAACAAGTTCCAGTATATATAAATGAAACAAGTTGGCAACCAAAGCAAATAGAAAAGATATACTCTTATATTTAATCAAAGTTAAACAAATAAGAGCTCCTTATTATGAAGCACAAGAAAGAAAATGAGAATTCATGATGAGTAAATGAGAACCTAACTCACAAAATGACAACATAAGCTCAAGAGTCAAGGCATCTTCCCTCATGACTAATACCACAAAGGGGAGACCAACTATAGAGGAGAATTGAAACTAACATTGCGATGGTATAATTAGAATCTCTACTCTGATAAAAAATCGTGTAAGCAATCGATGTAACAAATGTAAAATTAACCTCGAAAGACTTTACTTTGACACTTTTTTTTTCTTTTAATAGTGGTTGCGTTCCTGATTTCAACTGTCCATTAGTAATTCTTAAACGCGTATAAATATATCTCTAATCCAAATAAGTAAAAACTCTTGCAAATTATAATTTCTCAACCATGGGATTATAAATCATAAGAAGCCAAAATAATAAAGCTCAATTAGCAAACTTCTAAAAAATAACAGAAATCCATAGAGCGAAGATTACCTTTTGTATTGTAATCTATCCTTTTAAAAAAAACTTTATAGGGTTAGGCATGTGAGCACGTGCGGCTCAAGGAACGTGAGAATCTAAAAGAATGGAGGGGGTACTTGCATGTGCCCTGTTTTAATGATTTGTTGGTTTTCGATATCAAATTTTTACCCTTTTTTTCCCTCTCCCACGCTCCCACGTGACAGCAATTCAATAGCTGTTCTAATTCTGTGGGCCCAAACACCACTTGTCAACCTTTTATTCCATTGGCCCATTAGATAGGCCCGTCTAACTATTTCCTCACTCTTCTGGTTTCCCTCCTGAAAAATCTTAATCCCTAAATAACAAATGAGTTAATCAAATTGATTGAAACAAGTGACTTTTAAGTTTTTTTTTTTTTTTTTTTTTTTTTTTTTTTTTTTTTTTTTTTTTGTTTTTTGCATCATTCTACTATGGTTTGTGACCCCCTTTTGTTAAAAGAGCTTTATATAACAAGTCATGTTGTGTCTCGAGGAGTGAGAGGATGGAGGGATGGTTAGTCCCTCCATCTCCCCCCATGTGATGGGGGGTTCGACTCCTCACAGCCCCATTTCTGTGATAAGATGGGGCCCCTTCCCCGTAGTTTACCGATCAAAAAAAAAAAAAGTCATGTGTCTCGATATTCCATTTAAATTTATTGACTTATATATGTATTTATTGCCACCTATATAAACTTATATTCGTATTTTTTTTTCTTTTTTTTTTTGAAGGACGTAATTTTTTTTTCTTAAACATGTTATTTTATAGTAAAAAAGAGCAAAGCCATAATATTTCATTAACTTCCACTGACGAAATGTTCTAGCTATGCCATAATCACAACAAAAGCAATATACTTGTATGACATAAGTAGCATACGGAGTACATGGCTAGCAAATCAAAGTAAAGCAAATAAACCAGTTCCTTGTACAGCTGAACAAGAGCTCATATTATGTGAAAATATTTAAATTGAACCATTTGCTCTTTGTTGATTAAATGAGTAATTGACCCGGCCCAGGTGTATATAACAAATTATATACGAGTACTATACTTAAGTTTATCCATGAGGTGCTTATAAAGTTCTAATGTATCAATTTAATGTGTACTCGTATCTAAGATGCAGACACTAATGGTCTGTTCTAAATCCTTCTCATTGACTGAACTCAGCTGAACTGAATTGGACTGGACTGGACTGAACTGAGCTGAACTAAACTGAAATGAATATTTTATAAGAGAAGGAAATTAAGAGCTGAACTGAAATGAGTTGAGCTGAACTGAAAATAAACGTATGAGAACAGGTCCTAAGTGTAATGAAACAATTAGAGGCTATAAATTAATCAGCGATTCAATAGAGGTGAATTTACGAGATTAATGTGTTAGCTTGGTTAAATGGATTTAGGACACACACTCATCAAGAACATTATGAGTTGGAACATAGATAAGCCTAAGTGAAGTTTCATCCAAAAATCAATTAACAATAGTTATCTTCTCCAATATGGGGTAGTTTACAACAGTTTTTCTCTCTTCTTCTCCAATGCCCTTGTAGGACGGAGAGGTTTTAAGTTAATCCATCCTAAACTTAGACCTAGCAAAACACAGATTTTAATTAGTTAAAGTTAACTAAAAGGCAGAGAAATCTATACAAATTGTTATACCTATACCATGTTACTCCCCATTATATTGGGCTATTTACCCTTGAAGTTCGTGACCGTAGTTTTTCCCCTGAGTATAGAGGTTGGGATTTACCACATCAAATAATAAGTTATTATTAACTCCGCCAGTGGGTTTTCTACCAATCCCAAGCCTAAATAAAGGAGTAGGGTTACGGTAGGCCAAGGATATCACATCCCTCGATATGAGCCACAATGATGACCCTCCTGATAAATTCTCATGTTAGTTTATATAGCTGACCCCACTTATGGGTTTAAGACGTTCAAGCAAGGAAAAAAAGTTACTATTCAGCTATTCTCATTTATGTTGTAAAAAAAGAATCCATCCAGGGGCCAATGCCTATAAATATATTATCTACGGATAAGCCTAGCTCATCATCAAGCAGAGTCCTTATCACCTTAATGTATTTTAACCTAATCACACCCACAGTGCACTACCTAGATAAGTCCCCAACTAAGCTTGCATCATGCACCAAAATTAAACTTTGCATCGTGAGGTTTAAACTTTGTATAATAATTACCTCTATCCAATCACAAAGTAGGTTCAAAAGCAACTTCATTCATGAGATTAAATGGCAACAGATGAACAAATATGTTACTAATCTTGTGGTTACAAAGATACTTTATGTACCTTTGTACTTACAAATGTAATGCTTAAGATGAGATATAATTTTAGTAATAAAGAAAAACATTATGGGAAAAATAAGAGAAAATTATGTCTAGTTTGACGGCAGATGCAAGTGGAAGGTTTCACCAAAAGTGATTTCAAATAATCAAATTACATGATGATATTGGTGCAGCTATCAGAAGTTATATATATAAGTTGGTAAACTAAACATCAGTTTTTGATAGAATATGCCTACCTTGTACGATGATATATCAAGACAGGAGTCTTATCAAGAGGCACCAGAACTCGAGCTTTTGTAGTAAAATAAGTTACCATCCGTGTGTGTTGTCCTTGTCGATTCATTACAAAAGGAGCTCATGATATACGTATCCTGAAAGGAACAGAAACCAAACCCATTATTCATTAACAGCCAATTAATCAACAGATGAAATGGTAAAGTAGACAATTAAATTAGCATAAACTAATCTTGGACACAGATATTAGAGCATATTATAGTTAGCTTATCGGAAAAATAAACGTCAAAAAGAAGGGGCCTCTTTCTTTCTCATAAAGCACAACTGAATGCCTTTTTTCGTGGTGTGGAATTGGACTGAGAATGACGAGTAAAAATGCTGTTTCCTGGTAAAGCATCAATTCTTTTGTCCCAAATACGATTGTTATAATAGTGGATAACTAATGGGTAATAATATATGCCAATAAAGGGTTGCAGCTAAGGAGGGCTTGTCAAGGGTAACACAACTGCACTGTGTTACTAGTACTCGAAGATGATTAAGTATCCAAGTGTCATACTTGGATAATTTACGAAAAAAATTCGAAATTACAGGACTAAACTAAAGTATCCATACTCGTGTAAGAGTGTCAAGAATCTCATAAGTGTGAAGTGAAATGAAGAGTCCAAATAACATAGCATCTCTACAGAAAATCTTGAAACAAGGATAGGCAAACTTTGCTACAGATTATTTCGAATTTCTAAATGTAGAAAAGTCATTTAAGAAAACTGACACAACAACAACATGGATAAGTATTTCAGCAAATGCCCGTAGACTTTAGAACTAATATGGACAAGTATAACTTTTAATTAATATGAAGTATTAGACATTTAGACTCACAGCTACAAACATCAATCATCACTGAGTTGAGGTGTGGTTGGAGAAAGAAGTAAAAGTGACCTTCTGTACTTGATAACACTGTTAGAAACACGGCCTAATCCTCTAATAAAAATGTTGAAGAATTTAAGTTTTATATGATTGTTAGTTTCTTAATACCTATCCAATCCAACAATAAGGAATTTAAACTGCTGAAGTCGGACAAAGAGTGGATCATAGCAGTGAGGCTAGTTAGCCTTAGGGGCAGATCGTGCTGCCATTAGCCCAATTTCACTGAAATATTTTAGTCTAATTACCCAATATAACTTCTCTAGCACAATGTCAACTGCAGTATAGCAAAATGGAAGTCAGCTAATCAGCTCCAACTTAATGGCAAGCATAGCTACTGCTTCATTTCTTAAAATAATGGATATTACAATAATAATCCGGTAGATGAATCCAAGAAAGCTCTCCATTATATTTCGTAATAAGTAATTTCAAAGAAAATCTATGCAAATAAACAGTCTGTAAACAGCAACTACAAAATCTGTCAAGACAGATAGGGGGAATAGGGGCAGAAAATATTGTCATTGACATAAAAAATTGGACGCCAAGGCTGGTTTATGATACCAACATCTGGTAATCTGAAGTAATTGTAAGATGGAAAATGAAGGGCTAACGTCATTTGGATATTGTGCAGCTGATACAACAATGGTTTGTAGACTTTTCACGAAGGTATCAGGAAAAACCCTATATTTCTCTAAAAAGGCTTAATCTCAGATGATCTATGTCTGTTACTACTTAAAATGGCCTTTTTTTCATTAGCATTTCACCAACCAGCTGAAGTGTGCTGACTAGAATTCTATCTCCAATTTCATTATTCAGATAATACAATTTACAAACATAAGTCGTACAAGCAATGTGCTTCTCATAAGTCATCACAGTGTGAAGTATATTTAAATACCTTTATATTTGAAAATTAAATGGTCACTTGTGGAACCTAAAAATTATTAATGATAAAGGTGTGTCAAATACCAAAAATAAGCTTACGTCAAACCAAACTGCCAGCAAAATTGGTCAGGTCGTCTCCAAATTTGATTAAGTCAGTTTTTAGGCAAGTGAAACAAATGGAAAACATAGACAGAGCATCCAAGATTTCTACCATTCCCCACCAAAACTTTCATGCGGGGTCAATGGGTCATATTCATAAAAAAATTTAGGTTACAACTAGCATCCTTTACACCTAGTGTTTCAAATAAAGATTAGGGATCTTCCATGTGACCGTGTAGGCTCAGTTTCTTTTTAAGCTGCTCTAGGAAAATATGTATTGAGAACAAAGATCCCATACCACTTTTGAAAGTCAGTCTCCAAAATGTACAATATAAAGCAACATCCAGCCTTAAAGAAGTCACCATAGTAAAAACCAAATCACCACACTGAAAGTTAGTATTGTATATTATATAAGGCCAATAAACAAGCCATCTACAGATCTCCCATGATGCAATCACACCGGAAAAAAATTAAGAACAAGCAATTTTCTACCTTCAAGTGTAGCAAACATATTATGAATTCAATAGAATTAAAATAATGGATCATACATGAAGGTCCTTTTCTATCAATAAATAATACGGAGTATTCATTTTTATAAGAGCAAAAGTCTAGTTATTAGCACCTACCAGTAGTGGGTTTTAAATGCATGATATGCTTCCAGTAGAAGTTATGTGGGAAATTTGAGGAAGACTGGACTATGATTTTGTCCCATGTTCTTACTTTTTGATGAAAACACCTGAAAACCAATCAGAAACAAAAGTAAATTTCTGTATGTAGAAAACCAAATCCAACAACTAGAAAGTTCATATAACAGAAAACATCAAGCAAATAAGAGTAGATGATGATTCTATAGTTGAGAGCAATGTACAAGAAGAGTGCTTATTCAAACCCTTAACATAATACTTAAATCAATTTAGATCAAAAAAATTATGTGGAAATCATGCTGTGAAACTAGAATAGCTTGAGAGTTACTATTCTTACTAGAAGTTGAAAAAAGTATTGCGACATAGGAATTTTTTTTTTAAAAAAAGAAAGAAATAAAAAACACTGTATTGCAGTTCAGGAAGGGCAGGTCTTTCATGAAAACCAAAAAATTCAAGCATAGATCATGTTACAAGTACTGGATACTACAAATTGAGAGTAGAATATGAGATACACTAGCGCTTATTGGACACAAGAATCCAATCATACCCTATATCAGTGTTGTTTTGGCATGAAAAGCTACAGTGTCATAAGATGGAAGGAAAGAAGCAAGGAAAGTACACAAAAAAAATAAAAGTACAAGGAAAATTCCAACGTCGTACAAAGAGAACTCCAACCCTTCCCTACTAAGATTTTGATTAACCTTGAGTTTGATGACTTCAATTAACCTGATAATTTAGATTTCAACACTCGTACATAAAGCATACATAGCAATGCGTATGCTACACCTTTAAACATTCAAATTCAACCATCCTCAATACTAGTGCTACTAATGCAACTCAAAATCATTCCAAAGTTTTCCTTAGCTGTGCACAATTTTCTCCATTCTTTTGCATCGAACACGCTCCACTAACATATAAGAGCATATGGTAGCCTAATCTCTAAAATTCAATCCCAATTGAGTTTAATTGCACCATTCATTCATATAAAACTTCCAATTTACTATTCATCTTCAAAACATTACATAGCATCAAAAACAAGTACACAACCGCAAAAAATTTCGTCTTAAATTCTGGTGACAACGAATAAATGACAAAATCATTACCTAACTTATATAGAACGAAAATTGGCAAAATTGAACAACCATTTTTCATCATTCCTAAAATACCCTAAGATTGTAAATGATTTTACTATATAAATTGGCAAAATTGAACAACCATATTTCATCATTCCTTGAATACCCTAAGATTGTAAATATTTTTACTAAATAAATTGGCAAAATTGCTAGTCAATATTCAATCTTTTGCCCATATTATAACTCAACAAAGAACACTGTATCATAATTTCATGGGAAAAATAAGTATAATGATATAAACTAAGCAACAAGAACATATCAACTCTAAAAAAAACAAATTAATTAAAGGGTACATTTTCAATTATAAATTATAAACTTCAAATATAATACGGAGTAATAAATTATGAAAACAATCAAGGAAATGAAGAAATATAATGAAAAAAAGCAGAGACAGGTAAATTACAGGGGAAAAAAATGAGAAGAAGAAAAAAGCGAAAATGACAAAACAAATTAGGAAGAACAAAAGAGCGACAGATTACCAAATTGATGCGCAGTTGAAGATTTTTCAGAAGGCTGAGAATTACGGAATAGCAGACCAATTCCCATTACTTTTTATTTCCCTCCTTTTTCTCCTTCATCTTATGACGCTTCCAGCCCCAATTAAGTGAGTAACCCCACCATCTCTTGAACCAATTTTGAGAGAAGACTGTTCTAACCCTCGAGATATATAGACCGGGCATAATTAAACCCCAATGGCTTTTAATCATGAAAAAAAAAACAAAAATGTCGCGTGTTAGTCATGTCAAAGGGTAAGTGTAATTTATTAAAACCTATTGGAATGTTAGAAATCAAGGAAAGGAAATGACATTTAGGAGTTACGAGGTTGTTTTCAAAAAAAAAAAAAAAAAAGGTTACGAAGTTGTTTACCTGTTCAAAATCGAGTTAAAGACCGGAAATTTAAAATTAAAGAGTTGGAGACTAGTTTGGTTATGCTAAAACCGGACTGGCGGACTCTGACTAAACTATTCAAAACTATTGTTGTTCTATTTGGTCCAGTCAAGTTCGAGGGTAGACTAGTTTTTGAAATGAATACCTCTTTTGGAGGCATTGTTTTTAGGTTTGACACTTTTCGTAACATAACTCTATGAGGCCAATTTTAACAATTTTTATCATCAAAGTGGGCACAAGTCGGATTGTGCAAATTTTTCATAGTGAAGCCCATGCATGGGGCCACGTAACATGTCGTGGCGAATTATGTTGTTCTAACAAGCTCCATTAATACTTTACTATTAGTTCATATATTGTAAAAATAAGCAAAATAATACAGTGGCCAACTTATCGTACTCGTGTTGGGTTCATGTCAAATTTGATTTGAAAATAACGTATATACATGCACGGTTCATGGTCGATCGATGGTCCATATGCATATCTCTGGTGGCATGTCAAGTACGCTGCACGACTTAAAAGCAATACCGATGGAGTAATAATATGGAACAAGGATAGTCCCAAATTAAATCTATGGCTAGTACTTATCTCTAAGATGTCCCTTCGTTTCCTCTATCCAAGATTCGGACCTACCTCTTGTAAATGAAACGGGGACCAACAAAAAACTACTACTACTCCTCCATTACATTCAATAAACTTGAATAATTTCTAGGGTTTCATACAATATATATATATATATTTATAAATAAAATCTATGTCTACATCTTTCACTAGCAAGCCCATTCCTTAATTCACTGCAAAACCCCTCAAGTAGCAACTAGCAAGTAACATTTTGTCATTGTAACATGTGAAATTTTATCATCTTACAAATTGAAATGTACACTTTTGATAATTCCATGGAAAAATAATGTTGCTCCCACTAACTATGTGCCCTTCTATTTTTTTTTTTTTTTTTTTATTACTACTACCCTTATTTGAGAAACTATATTATATATTCTAACAAATAGCTACCCAAGAAAAACAAATAATAAAGCCCTAAATTTATACATACACCCTTAAACTTCAAAAGTTCAAAACACATTTGATTATATAGCAAATGTGGAGATCATCAACTAATATGAAGGGTGTAAGTATCATTGTTAAAGAAGGAGAAGGAGAAGACACATGGGAGCTAGCTCGCGCGTTCGCCGAGGATACAAGGAGCACCATGGATACAAACTGGCCACCAAGGTCATACACTTGCACCTTTTGTAAAAGAGAATTCAGGTCAGCACAAGCTCTAGGTGGACATATGAATGTCCACCGCCGTGACCGTGCTCGTCTTCACCATCAGTCCACTGTCCAGGCCCAGGCCCAAGCCCAAGCCCGATCCATGGTGACTAGTACTAGTCCAACATCGTCTCTCTTTTATCAATTAGCTAATTGTAGAAGTAGTACTAATAATTTTGAGGTTATGCCTTCTAATAGTAGGTGTAGTAATTATATTGGTATGCAAGTTAATGAGATGTCACAAGGGGTTATTAAGGTTAATAATCATGAGGAAAGAGCACCCATTGAAGAACTCGATCTCGAGCTTCGCTTAGGACATATACCTTTACCAAGACCTTCAGCTTCACATGAGAATATTTTTGAGAAGAATAGTAATGTGTCTGTTCTTAACTTTAGATGATGATAAGATAATGTTTGTAATTTTCCAAAAAAAAAAAAAAAAAAAAATTCTAAAAATACTAATAGTAATCAATATTTAATGGTTTATAAGTAGTACATCTATAAGCTTATGTATGCTCTCTTTTTGTGTATTTAGTTTGTTTATTAATGTAAAATTTTCCAAGAGCAAGAATAGCACTTTTCTGATTGTATGTTTGAAGTTTTAAGTTTACAGATTCAAGGGTTTAATTTGAATAAAAAGTTTATAGAAAATCATTCTGATTACAGACTAGTACAGTGAATAGTCTTCAAATCAATTGAAATCTTAAATGTTCATGGTTTCTCTCATCCTTCATTCTCCGAAGATTTCCTATACAACAGTTGCATTCATTCTTCAATTATCGATAGTGGCATGGTTCAACTTTGTCATATCTTCTGAAAAATAGATCAATGGTTTGAGCTAGGAAACTAGGTTGGTTTAAATTAAAATTTATAATTGGATGAAAGATCATATCATTTGATGTGTCACATAAGTAATACTTTTTGTACAATGATTACATTGGATATATACATAATATTATAATTTATTATATACATACTGCTGGGTTTTCTTTAACAATACAACGAGTGTTATTAATTACCTAAGAAGCTAGATTACATGAAAATTCTAGTAGATTTAGTGATGAGATGTGCATGTTAGAGGAGTTATTATCAATCTCAAAAAAAAGCACAAGCTGATAGTTGATCGAAGTCCAGGATTGGTTTAAATACACTATTAGTGCACTTAACTATACATCTTAGCTCTAGTTGTTAATTTATAGACTAAAGTTGTACGTAAATCATATATCAAGCTAGTAATTACATATATAGTACATTGAATATATAGTTTTATTTGTGTACGGTTTCAAGCTGAGAAAACTTCTAGTTCTGATATACTCCATAATAAACCAAAATATACTTACCTTCTAATATTTGTGTAACGTAACAATTACATATATAGTTCGACGACAATCAATTAGGTTAAAAAGATGTTCGTATCGATTGTAATGCATTAGGTCATTTAATCTCTATGTACATGGTGTTCTTTTGTTGTGCTAAGACTAATGATTCTATAATTAGGTTTACATTCATTTCATTGAACCCCCCATTTAGGGACCCCATCCCCCCCCCCCTCCTCCTCCTCCTCCAAAAGGACCAAAAAAGAAAAAACATATATATGGAAAAAAAAAAACAATTAATTAATACATTATGTTCAGTGTCCTAATCAATGTAGATAGGTAACTATCCTATTCAAGGAGTTGTCAATTTTAGAAGGTGACAGTTTTTCTTGTTAATTTTAACACGATCATATGGATGATAAAACGAAGTAGATCGATTTAATAATACAGGTACTTTCTCCATCGTTTCCTAATAAGTTCTAGTTATTATCATAGAAGTTGATGTAATTTTGACATTATTTGTGAGACAATTACTGTCTAAAATAACAGTCAATAATAATCATCATACAACTTAGCTCCGACTACATTTGAATCCGACCGGGGTTGCACGCCTGGCTTATGATGGATGAGTCTCCCAACAAGAGATTATGTATAAGTTGAGGTCCAAATCCAAGACCATCCTTAAGCCCTACATCAAGTTGCTTAACACTTGAGCCAACTCTTGTCGGTATCAACGCCAAATACAAGTACTCCTATGAAGCTTTATAACTTGTATGCAAATGATGAAAACTAAGGTAGCACCACAAAAGTAGTAAATATAAAATTGCATGGGTTTGAGTGACCACAGTGTTGATATTGATAGAGAAGAGAAATGTTAGGATGCACTGTCCTTTTCTTTCTTTCTGCTTTTTCTGGAAGATAGCATTGCACTGTCAACGTATATTTGTCTCTAATTTGTTTTCTGCACTGCAATATCTATATATTATACATTATGAATTAGATCGAGTATGAATTCATATATCCGTGGGCATCATTTAGCTTATGAAATCATTGTACATGCATATATTATTGACAATAAATAGACATCTTTATTTTTTAATTTTTTTTTTTTATTAATGATACAATGAATAACCATGCATACACTAGAATAATACTAGATCAACTTCGACTATACTAGATATAATTCTTGTCCCGAAGTTTCACCAATGACTTTGAGATTATAATCAAGGTCAAACACGTACCGCCTAATAGATTGGACAACCAATTAAACCATTCATTAGTTCTAGCTTCTACATTATATGTATAATACGATAGATTTATTGTACATTATTCAAACTTTTTAGACAACTATTGAATGACTTAGCTTTTGCTATTTAATTACTCGTATATAACAATTTTAAAAATTAAAACTATATCATACTTTGTATTTAGTTTGATACATATGTTACGTGGTACCGATGACCAATATATTAATTTAAAGAATGGGAGTTCATTCTTGCAAGGACCACATTTAAAGTTTGAGGGTGGCAAGGCACTGGTCCTATCTATGCTTGGATATCAATGTATAGTTCCTCCAGTTTTTGCATAGTGTAATAGTTAGTTGAGAATGAAGTAATGAACCCGTCAAAAACAAACAAAATAAAAGTAATCATGAAGAACTAAAGACGAAGGCATTATATTAGTTCAATAGTAATGAATGAGAGTGATGACATATTCCTAAAAATATGTGGAAATAAATGAAAACCTTGAGAAGAAACAAGATATATAGTTGGAATGTAATGGAATTATGAACCAAAACCAAAATTTATTTTCAATTCGTTCCCAATTTGAAGTAATCATTTCGTTCATATGAAGGCATATTTTTCAGGTCATATATGTATGGTTCATTGGTTACATTGGACACTTGCATGAGCTCTGCTATGTTATGGTATTAGACTATTAGTTAGTTACTGCTTTCTATTAGACTATTAGTTAGTTACTGCTTTCTATTTGACTATTAGTTAGTTACTGCTTTCTATTAGACTATTAGTTAGTTACTGCTTTCTATTTGACTATTAGTTAGTTACTGCTTTCTATTAGACTATTAGTTAGTTACTGCTTTCTATTAGACTATTAGTTAGTTACTGCTTTCTATTTGACTATTAGTTAGTTGCATTAGACTATTAGTTAGTTACTGCTTTCTATTTGACTGTTAGTTAGTTGCATTAGACTATTAGTTAGTTACTGCTTTCTATTTGACTATTAGTTAGTTGCATTAGACTATTAGTTAGTTACTGCTATCAAATTGCAAGGGGTCGTTCCAAAAAAATAAATATTGGTTACACTTTTTTAAAGAAGTTTATTTATGTTTTGCCTTGCCTGAAAAGCCGGTTATTTATGCGGGTTTTAAGCAAGCCTACTCAGCCTGAATTTTAGTATGGCCCGGCCCAAACAAACGGGCTGATTTTAAACCCTTAGCCCAGCCTGACCCACGATCACGTATAAAAGAGAGTGAAGTGCAACTGTGGAAGTTGGCATTGATAAATTAAGCTTCAAATGTGTGCACTTATGGGCCTTAATTTTTTAATGTAATTAGCCTGGGCTAAACTTTGTGATTTATGTCAAGGCCCCTCTTGGCCTCCACCATGGTCACACTCAATTTATGATCCAAAATTCCTAGTTGCAAAAATTCACTATCAATCCCACTAAAATGTTCTTTACAAATCATTCTTAAAAATCAATCTGATCCAAAGATAGAGGGAGGTTGTATAATTAAATTGTGATTTTATGTGAATCTAGACAACTTCAAAGTGATTTAAACTTAAACCTAATATACCTTAATCTTTTACCATTCACATTTTGTCAATCTTTTTTAGTTGGATTTGACATGATTCTTATTCGATTTGTACACTTTTATTTTATTATTAATGAATTAAAATAATTCTATATGATGCATTAAACAATAGACACATATATACCAAGTACAAGACAAGTTCCATAAAAAAAAAGAAAAAAAAAAAAAGAACAAGACAAGTTTAGATTCTTTAACTATTTTGATTAATCTAAACCCGTAACATGAAAGCATCCATGATTTATGAAAATTCATCCCTTGATTTGAACCTAATTTGTAAGGTCCCAATTGAAGGCTCTTATCACAAGAATCGTGACTAGCAATGCCTGAGAGGGAAAAGGGATGAGATTTGTGCATATTAAGAATTGAACCTCACAACTTTAAGGATGTGAGACGACTTCTAAAACACTGTATCAAGAGGTCTTTCGCACTTAAACCTAATTTGTTAGCCCCAATCTTAGTGCTGAGCAACACTACCGAAAAACCGTTCTGAAAATTAGGGTAACCGATTCGACCTGTTCCGATAATTTGTTATCGGATATGGTTATTGGATATCATTTTAAAATTAACGGTTATCCCATCCGATCCGATAAGCATTTTTTTGCTTTTATTCCCTACTTAAATCTATTTTTTAAAAATCAAAACTCTTACATTACTTCATAATTAATTTATAATATCAATAATTAGTAATATTATTAATAATTTGGTCAAAATCATATGATATTGTTGTAAATTAGTGGTAAATTATATCATAATAACTACATAATTAAGTTTAATTATCATTATTGGATATCTTATTGGATACCGATAACCGATCCGAAAATCCGGGTACCCAGGTAATGGATATCACTTTTAGGGATTTTGATTATCGGGTACCCGAACCGTTAGTACTAATAGTATGGGTACCCGTCCCATGCTTACCCCAATAATGACCAATCTAACCAACCCATTTCACAAGTCGACTTATGTCAAGTGCTTAATAAGCACAATTACACAGTATAGTCTGTATAGACTGTACAGTCAATGAAATTACTCCTATAAACGATTTACTTGCGTTACAAAAACTCCTTTGCTTACAAAAAACACCCTCCATTTTGCTTCCCTAAACCAGTCTTTCTCTTCCGTGCTCTCATAGTCTCTTCTTCAATGGCACCATCATCAGAATTAGATCAAACACTTGGAGAACTAAACAAAGAATCATTCGTCAATCTCTTAACCAAATTAATTGGCGAATCCAAATACTTACAGAACAACCCACCTGAATTAATCCCAGAAGAAGACAGGGTTGTCAACCACTTACTTGAGATTCTCTCTCCTCTTTCCACCACCACCGGAGGTGGGCCCCTCATCATCAACCATGCAACTTACTACCCGAAAAGAGGAAACCTTATTGTTGAGTATCCGGGTACTGAACCCGGCAAAGTTGTCTCCTTTGTGGGTTGTCATATGGATGTTGTCACTGCTAATCCTTCTGATTGGGTATTGATTCTTCTCTGTATTTGATTATTTTGTTGATTAAAGTTTAGTTTTTGCGAAAGTTTGGAACTTTTTGTTTCTGGGGTTTTGTTTTTTTGCTTGATTAAGGTGTTAATTGATGTTAATGTTGTGTTTCTAATTGAGTGTGTTAGATTTATATGAAGTTCTGTATGTATAATTTGATTTTGATTGAAATTTTAATGATTGCTCATGAGATTGTTCTATGAATCTGTTGCTTCTGTATAAAGTTTGCTGGGATTTTTTTATTGGTCTGAATCATGGTGCTACTTGATGGCTTGATGCTGCCTTTTCTGGTAAAGGATGCTATTTTATTGAATTTGAATTGTGAGGGTCAAGGGAATTGGTATGAGGTGCTGAAGTAATGTCAACATTTGAAGATGCAAGCAAGATTGTTCTTACTTTGTGTTTGTCCTGTGTGAATATCTGCAGTCTTGGAGTTTTGACTATGAGTCAATTAAGGTGGTCGATTCGATGATTGACCTCTCGGGGTAGCATTGATCACAACCCTTGTCCAATTTCAAATGTTTAATGTATCCCAATGGATTAATAGCTAATGGGTAATTTCGACTTTGGCTAAAATCGAGTGTATCGATTGTCTGTAAAATGTCACTTCATTTATGCTCTGTGGTGACTCAGTTGCCTTTAAATCAGGGGGCTAAATGAAAACAATCTTTTTGATGCTATACTAATAAGGGTAAAAGAGCCACTTTAGGCTGTATACATCTGATTTGCCCAGGCAGAAGCCTCATTAGAGGCATTGCCATAACATATGGTTTGAGTGTTTGACTTAATGTGTATTCTTCATAGTTTCTACTTTAAGGATTATGTTATTTGAACCTGGGTATTTGTCCAAATGGCATGCTTGGCTATTTTGTGAAAAAATACCATATTTTTGGTCCATATTATGTATCAAGTGTTCATATCCATGTAAGATTGTCGAATATGGCATGGCCCACATGGGAATAGTCCGGGTAACATAATCCAAGGCTTAAGGTTTCTAGTTTCCATTCCAAGGTTTAAAAGGATTTATGAATTTCTTACCTTTCTCCCTTTCCACTAGTCTAACACAGAGTGTATATAATTACTCGAGTCACCAAATTAGCTTATCTGCCTCACTTGTGATATGAATACATACTTTAAATCTTTCTTGAGTCTTGACCAGTCTTTAGGTGAGAGACTAAGGTTTATTGATTATATTTTCAAACTTTCTTGGAAGCCCCTTGTTCAGGCTTCATTGCTTGAGTTGGTTTTGGTCTTTAATAATACTTATGGATTGATTTGTAGGACTTCGATCCTTTCTCATTGAGCATCGATGGTGATAAACTTAGGGGTCGAGGGACTACAGACTGTTTGGGACATGTTGCCTTGGTAGCTGCATTGATGAAGAAGCTAGGGGAGGCAAAACCAAAATTAAAGTCTACTGTGGTTGCGGTCTTCATAGCAAATGAGGAGAACTCAGCTATAACAGGCATTGGTGTTGATGCTCTTGGAAAGGATGGATTGCTTGATAAGTTGAAGGGAGGTCCACTGTATGTGTCCCTCGGCCATGATTTGTAACATCACACATATGATGTCCTCATGTTTAAGCTTATGCTTAACCTATGTAATCCTTTATATTTTCTTCAGGTTTTGGATAGACACAGCTGATAAACAACCTTGCATTGGTACTGGTGGAGTGATACCATGGAAATTACAGGGTGTTGGAAAACTTTTTCACAGTGGCCTTGCACACAAGGTATTTTTCATTATGAAATATGCATAATTTTGGATATATTCATAATATTTGACTGGTATGAATTTTCCTTACATAATACTACTATGTGAGCATCTTCACCTTGTAGTATGTGTTCAGGTTTTAGGACCCTTATTGAGTGTCTCAGCTCTCATGTCTTTCAAAACATTGAATCTGACTCTCTAGGAAATAAGTCAATATGGAGTAGAACTAGATGAGACGGAAGGATTCTGACTTTCTGAGTCCACCTTCTTAGTAGTTGCCTTGTGACCAGTTATATTCTACAATCTAATTTCTCAATCTTTGCGATAGATTTTTTGCTAAAATCTTCTGATTTTCATGCTAGAGTTGATTTTGTTTGCAATTCATCCTACAATGTCAGATGAAGTGTTGGAGATTCTAATTTGAAATTCCTGATTCTTTGGTTTACATTCCTGGTTCTTTGGTGCTTTGAGATAAACTTGAAGTTTTTTTTTTCTTTTTTTTTTTTTGAGAGATAAGAAATTAATTTACTACAAACTTTCTGGTGCTATTTTCTTATTTAACCATTTGAAATTCTCTATTTGGAGAGCATTTCTGTAATTTTTGACATCTAGACTATTCCACATTTTAGAACGTCTGGTCTCATCCTCCTTTTGTACCTAGCCTATTGTCGAGGTCTTCATGTAGGTGGTTATGAAAGTCTTATTCCAATCCTTTTACATTAATTTGTCGATTGAAGCTATATTAGATTAACAAGCTGAGTAAATTATGCGCAGATTTTGCATAAATTGAAAGTCTTTGAACTGAATCTTGTTACCTCTTTGTTAAGTATTTCTGTCTGAATTAGCTGGTTGCTTCATATTGTAAACACTTACCTGGAACATCTTAACATCTAATGTATTTCAAGGATGTCATTTTTTTTGAATTCAATGTTGGAGTTTGTGTAATAGCCAGCTGTGTGATTATTGTTGCATGGAATTAGTCGTCGCCTATTGACACTATTGAGTACTGAAGATGATGAAAAATGATTAACCTTTTATTACACATTCACATACTCCATCATAACCCCCTTGGTATAGTATTTATTTAAATTAATGAAGGTAAGTACTAGAACAGGGGTTCATTTCTATACAGACAGGCTGTAATGTATTTCTAGGTGATGCTGGGAGAGGTACAAAGTTCGGTGTAGCGAGTTCAGATATGAATGTTTCTGGAAGCATATTGCCAATCTTCATCTAATATTTTGTGTTATTGAAGCTGCTAAGAATAGCTAAACCAACTCTATTTCGAAAGAGATGGGAAGCATTTTGGTACAATATCTTGTAGTTGTAGTTTAACAATGTTGCTTGTTATTATGATGCAATCCACTTTTTAATAACCCTCCCCAACCAAACTTAAATAATAGATGCATATTGTATATGCAGGCAGTAAATGCTATGGAAATGACAATGGAAGCACTTAAGGAGATACAGTTACGATTTTACAAAGATTTTCCTCCACACCCTGAAGAGAAACGCTATGGATTTGCAACCCCATCAACCATGAAGCCCACTCAATGGGTTTGTAAGTGCTGGTCTTTGAATTCCTGATTTTTGTATGGAAACTGGCTGATAGTCTTGCTGATGTGTTATTGATGCTTGACTTTCTTGCTGATTTTTGTTGTTTCAGATCCAGGAGGGGGTATCAACCAGATCCCTGGCGAGTGTACTATTTCTGGTGATGTCAGGTATATCACGGTTTTTCTTAATCAGTGCTGACTTTGGTGGTGTCCCTTTTTCTCTGTGAAACATTGATAAGAGAGATGTCTCATTAAGCCTTATTTTTTATTTGCAGGTTAACTCCCTTTTACGAGTAAGCACAACATACTCATGCTATTGTGTCTTTTAGTTTTATCCTCAAACTAAACTTTGCTGCGTTGCTCTACTTGCTTTGCCTTCTTCAACACCAATGGGTTCTTTTTGGGTAGAACAGTGATTCAGATGTCTTGTACTTGTTTTTGTTCCTTTGCAGTGTTAATGACTGTATGAAAATGCTTCAAGAATATGTCGATGACATAAATTCTAACATTGAGAAGCTAGATACGAGAGGACCAGTTTCAAAATATGTGCTACCTGATGAAAACATAAGGGGAAGGTTTATACCTCTTCATTTTATCTTATGTTAGTATAATTTTCCTCGTGTTTGTGGTAACTAACATCTGCTGTCTTTACCAGACTCACAATAACTTTTGACGAGGCCAACAATGGTGTGGCTTGTGATCTTGATTCTCGTGGTTTCCACGTCTTATGCAAAGCTACTGAAGAAGTTGTTGGTCATGTTAAGCCATACTCCATCACTGGAAGTTTGCCACTGATTCGTGATCTAAAAGTGAGATTTTTATATACTTGTAATTTTTTTGCTATAATTTTTAGTTATTGATTTCTGTTATGTCATCATGCATTGATATGCCTATTCTGTTTCAGGATGACGGATTTGATGTTCAAACAGCAGGATATGGTAACTTTTCTACAATGACTTGCTTATTATGCACACAGTTGGTCAAAAAAGTCTTGTTCTTACTACAAATTTACTCATTTTGTTAAATAATGGCATGATAGCTTTTTTTTTTTGCTCTTGACTGCATATCATATAATTGAGCCATACATCTTTGTCATGGTGAATTCTTTTGAGTTAAAGACTAGTCAAAATCATGAAGAGAAGATTTCTAGATATATATATATAGACACCATTTAGTAGTAGTGCTACAATTTATCATTTGGTTGACACATAAATATGGGAATTGGATGACAATGAAGTTGTTTTGTTGACAAAAGCATAAGAAGTTGCACTTTGTGGGAAATTCTGCTTCCCTACATCTAACTCGATGGAAACTGTTGCTTACCTAGCTCCATAATCCATTAGGTAAGTGGAACTTCAGTTGGGATGTTGGTCAATCAAACAACTCTTTTACTCTTCTTTGGAGTCAAAGCTCTAAGGTTTTTTAACTTTTAGAGAATTGTTACTTCCAACCAAACACCTCTAGATGTTATGGTAGCCCAATAGAAACAATTTTCTTCTCTCTGTATGTTAGAGTGGCTGCTTTGTTCTCTCTTGCATTAGCCTGATAGTATTGGTCAAATTTCAGTCCTGATGTGCACTTGCTATCAGTAGTCTTTAACTATCAGAAAATTCATTGTGAATGTGAGTGTCTAATAAGATATCTGTGCCTTACAGGTCTAATGGCAACTTACCATGCCAAGAATGAATACTGCCTTCTGTCGGACATGTGCCAAGGCTACCGAGTCTTTGCTAGCGTTATTGCACAACTAGAAGACTGACTTCCTGCGGATTATATTTGCTCTGGATTTTAAAAGTTTTCATTAATGCTCAAGACATGGATATACATTTACTGTTAAATAACAGTCATAATAATAAGTTCATTTATAAGAATGGATTGAGTTTAATCATGTAACATTCCATGTGTTAAAGTAATATGGTCATCAGTAAATCAGTAGTATTATGCTTCTGTCAAAACTTACAGAATTGAACCAAAATGATTTTGCATGGATAGCCAAGTGGTTCAACTGATCCAGCCAAGCTCGGTTTCTGCTTGGTCAGATCCTGGTGGGTGACCCAGTGGATTGCATGGGTATCAAGTGGGTAAACGGTTCGGCCACCCCGGCATTAGTCTAAATGATTTATCCATTAATATTGACGAAAGACCATTTTTTTTCAACTAAAAGTTTAGGTGCTCCGAATGCACTTTCCAAAAATTGCATGAACTTTCCAAAAATTGCATGATACAGACAGTTATGTCATAAGCTTAAGAAGCCATATATGTGCAGGAAAGTATAGTATCATAGAAGACACTCGCTAAATGTACATTTTATTACAAACCCTTTGTAGTTACTTCTAGTTTGTATATTTCATTTCATCTATCTATCGTATACAGTATAGTATAGCTATATATACACACTCTATACTACTCCAATTATAGTTCCTGTGATATTAATCATAAAACTGAGGATCTATTTAGAGTCTACGGTAGTGATATACAGTTTTGTGTAAAGGTAACTAGCAAACCTCAAAAAAGGTTCTTCCTTTCTGAATTTAGCTGCTGGATTCTCTGGCGTAACCTGTGTCGATGATCATGAATTTTCCATAAACCATGTCCAAGAACAACTGCAGAGTATATCCCGTGTGTGATGATAGGTGCAAGGATGTTATTTGTCTGAGGCAAACCAAGAAGAAAAAGTTACAAATTTGTTGGACAAATCTAACAAACATGTCAAACACACAAGTGAATTGAAGAGCTTACTTGGATCCACTCAAATCCAAGGTAAAGTGCCAAAATTCCTTCCAAGAGGGGTGAGTATATCCTTTTCATTTGCCTCCGCTCATACCAGGCTGCATAATGAACGCATATGAGCAACGAAATAAATTCAATTACACATTGTTATGGATTAATTTTAATTTTATTGGTAGCACAACCAGAGAACCTAAATCAGGATCGTCTCTAAAGCTGAAAAGGTAAGAGAATTGAACAAGAATTGAGAACTACCGTGCATCACAGATACTTTATGTAATCAGCTGAATGCATTATCAAAGTCAAAAGGAGGGAAGAAACCAACCTGCAAAGAGCTTCTTCAAATCCTCACGGCCAGAGCGAGATTGTAAAACAGGTGCTACTACATATGTAGGATCTGAAATAAAACAAAGAAACTTCCAAGATTATAATAAGATGATAAATTATATCCATGAACCTCTCTTGAACAAGGACAGTGAGAAATTACCTTTTGGTGATGCGGCTATATAATATAGAGAACCTGTAAGGGCAGCTGTGATGACTGCAGCAAATGCCTGGGCAAAAGGTACTAGTGGGGGTAGCACACCAGTCTACATATTGAATTACAGGGTAAGGTGAGATAGTATGTCAAGTCAATATAGAACATTAGATCTATGGCAGAATAGACAAGAAGGAGAGGTTGTTACCAGAGCGGCCACTCCCCGAACATCAGTCACCAAGTCACTGCTTCTAAGGAATATATCAGCAAGAGCACCCTATAGCATCAACATATAACTGTTTAAACTTCACAGCACAGGCTAGAAGTGTACAGGTTTAAACAACATTTTGGATGTTTATCCGAGGGTTTATTTAAGGCCTCTTCTAATAAGCTAAGATGTGTCCTTATGATTTAATTAACGCGGGCAACTATCACTAGCTACTATTCTCTTTTATGAAGTTGAAATTTTTGTTTTAATAGTGTTTATTCAATCTTAAAGGCTAAAAGTTTCACATGTTTTGCAGAAGATATAACTATATTTCTACTCCCCAATATCCATCACAAAGTGGCAGCATTCCCTAAATGGAAAATTACTACTGGTTTTATTTGATAAAGAAATTCAAAATGGTTGAAGACATTTACTAACCTGGACAGCAGCTCTATAGAAGAGTTCCTCACCTACTGAGCTTGCTGCAACAATGAGTATAAACTGCAAAATTGATTATATTATTAGTCAAAACTTCCAACAGTTTTTTTCACATATCACATGTTTCTCAATTTAGCAAGTCTTCTAATTCTAAAAGTTGCTAAATCATCTACCTGCCATGGTGACATTCCATAGAAGAAGCTTCGTAGTTCCTCATCCTCCACATCCCTTATCGCACGAGCATGGGGTGATAGCTTCACCACCTCGTCCTACAGCCAGTTAACATAAGCCATTAGGAAATTAATTATGAAAAGGTGAACATGACAAAATTAAAAACATCTAAGCCAGCGATTATATATACAGAGTAACATATAGCTAGCCTCAGGCTCATTCAAAGGGAAAGTCATAAGACATACATCTAATATAAATAGAAGAGCCATAATTGGAGGAGTAGCATATCCAAGTCCTTGAATAATGGCATCAAATGACGGTTGGAAACCACCAGAGCTGTCTATTCCGGAAAGTGAGCATATGAACCTCCCAGCAAGAGCCATAGCACCATATATGCCTAATGTAAGCAAAATCACACACAATTATCACTTTTATCAGTACATCAAACACATTTTTCTGTCACATAATTTGATAAAGCGAACCATCTTTCAAGTATAGAAGGAAATCCATAAGGCATACTGTGCAAATCTTAAGTGACAAACACTATGGCACCACATTGCTTGCTAAGTTGCTATGTCATAAAGTCTACTTTACAGTCCAACATAATACTTCATACGACTGTACTTATCATTCCACTTTAACTTACCCATGTTGGGTGCTCAGCAATGTAACATGGATATGTACAATTGACATATGATTATGGACCAAAAGCATGAAATTTTACTACCTCCGTTACATATTATTTGCAACGATTTGACATAAAGTAGAGAGGAAAAATATCTAATCGTTGCAAATAATATGTGATGGAGGTAGTACTTAAATAGCGAGACTGACATCAAGAAACATTGTCACATGTAATTATGTCCAACACAAGTAGTCGAGTCAGAGTAACATATCATTATAGGGAACAAAAATCATTACAGTGTACAAGGATAAAGGATTACTTATAAGATACTATGTACAAATTAGATTCGAATAAAGAGGAATAGAGGATCACTGTATGGAAAAATTCGCAGAAGTGATGGTTAACCCAATCATTTACTTAATAATTTATTTTTTTTCTTCGTTTGAAATTCATGTGATTATTCACCTAAAAGCAACTACAAAAAGAAATTGAGCCTCCCAAGAGTCCCAACAATTTAAAGGAACAACAAAGTGACAATAAAAGGATGATATTGACAAAACAACTTTCTATATTTTCCCTCATCCACCCTTCTTTCTGGTAAACTTTTATGGAGCATAACAACTTTGTTTAAACAATTTAGGTAATGGAATTCATTCTCAAAACCTACTACACGGCTACACCTAATTATCTCATTATAATTCATAAAATTTATACCCAAAACCTTGTTTACATCATTACCCTTTTATTCCATTGTTCGGGTCGTGGTACCAAGGACCTCACATGGAATTTAGTTTACATCATCACCCATTGTTCGAGTTGATAGTACCAAGACCTCATATCAAATTTCGTTTACATCATTACCCTTTAATCCTTTATTGCTCTCTTAATCCAATTAATGAATGAAAAGGTACAATTTATAAAAATTTCTAATTATTAACATATATACCTTTTTTTTTACAACAAACATATATACCTTGTAACATCAAATAAAAATAAATTACTTAAAATTAAAACAACCACACATAAAAAAAGAAAAACCCCAGATAAAAAAAGTTACCAATTCCATAGCTAAGTCTCACAACAGCTCCAATCTTGTCCCAAACAGGAAAATCAGCAGAAGTAGCACTAGCAGCATCTCCAAAGCTCTGATTAAATGTGGTAACTTCCATTGTTGATCTGGTATACCCTACTCCACCACCGTCTGATCTTTCAATCCCATCAACCCCATCTCTCCTTCTACTACCAGGGTCCACTGAACCCCTCACAACACCAGCACCATACTTGAACCTCCTCCTGCAAAGGGTTGACTTAGGGAGAAAAAAGTCAAAGGAGAGAGACCCAAATCCATGATTATAAGCCTTAAACGACGTCGTTGGAGGGTGTGGAGCTCGGTAAATCAATGGCAGTGACTCCATTAAAAGGGGGAAAACAGAGGAAACCTTATCAGAACAGGGTGAAGTTGTGGTTAATTGGCATAGCGTATTAACTTATTTGTTGATGAATTGAATAAAAATGGGGTGAATTCGCAAATGGGCATTTTTTAATAAAGGATTTGGAAGTAGCGGCTGAGAGAGGAGAGAGGAGAGAGAAAGAGAGTGGAGTTTGTGAATCTGTGGTTAGTTTATGGTAATGGAGGTTCAAATGTTAATGGTGACAAATGGGAATTTTGAGAGGATGATATCTGTGGTGGCCTGTTAATGTTTGCCAAGTGGAGATAATGATTACCTTACTAATTGCTGCGTTATACCCGTCAACTAAAACTCTTTTAATACAAACATGGTTGTTTATAAAGTGATTAGGACCTTAGGGATGTCGATTCGGACGGTTTGGTTATGGGTCGGGTTGAAAACTTTCGGGTTGAAATAAAAGGTTCTTTGATTGACAATTATGATGAGCTCGTTTAGTTCAATTATTTCAATTCAACTAAGGGATGTAAACAAGGCGGGTTGTATTCGACTCAAAATTAGAATAGGGTCTAGTTTATATGTAGTCACTAGTCCGGTAATAACAAATTCAGCTTCTTATTGGCATGGCCATAAGCAAGTTGGGATAATCAATAGCGGGTTATAATGGGTATGTAGGTTGGAAATCTTGGAATTGGTTTTTAATAGATGGTTACGAGAGTGTTTGGTTAGTGATTTTTTTTTTAATAGTCTTTTAACTTTATTTTTTAGGCAGATAATAAAATACGGAGTAATAATAAGTGCAATACCTTCACTTTAAAAGTAAAAAAATATTAGGGATTATTAAGTTCAATCAAGTGTGAATAAAAGGTGGACTCAAGGTTAGTCATCATATCTAATAATTTATGTGGAACGAACGCACTACATTGTCATCATGTGACAATACGCTTAATCAATCAAAGCGGGTAACCGGGATTTAAAATGGTGACAATATTTTTTTCATACTCAATGCATGTAAAAATCTTGCATAAGTAACTCATAGGGTATTTGAAAATGGATCAAGAAATAGAAAAAATACGATACTGAAATGATACACTACATAAGAATTGTCCTTTTACTTTGAGTCAGTTCGGTCTAGATGATACCATGCATTGATGCATGTATTAATTAGTAAAAAAGATAAATTATATTTAACCTTGGTAAAAAAAAATATACAAAGTATATACATAGTATATATGTACTAATCTTGGTGCACGCCCTTCTGTTCCATATATGGATCCAAACGTTCTGCTTGGTGAGTTGGGTCCCGTCAACAACCTACACAAGGCAGCACACGTAAACTGCCCTCGGAGGTGGCTCGAGGAACCCCCCTTCGAAGTTTAAGTTAGAGAGTGTTTAGAGAGAGAAAGTGTACTTAGAGAGATATAGAAAGTATAATAACTTGAGTGTCTAACCTCCTTTCCGTTGTACTTTACCCTTTATTTATAGGCGTACTATCTCCTACGTGGAGGATTCAGCCTGGTCAGCCCTACGGGCTGACTCCACCGAGCTAACAAGCCCCTCCTGGCTGTTCTCTCGGCAGTGAGTGCGCACCCTGGGGGTGATTTGAATTTATTAAGGAATAAGTAATAATAACGGAGTATCTGAAATAAGTTGAAGAAAACAAGTCCTTAATAAATGAAACTAACGGCTCACGGTGAGCCACTAAGTATTATTTGATCGTCCATGAGAAGATATCGCTAAAATTATAGCGAAATATTTTTTTTTATATTCTTGTGAGGCATACCAAATGAGACTCACTCCTGAGACGTTTGGAATGCCTCATACTTAAACCTATCAATTTTCGACCCGACTTGCAAATCCGATTCGAATTTAACCCGTTTTGTGGGTCTTGAACAAAAAATTTTGACCCGTAACCCGATTTATTCGAACCCGTTTGACCCATAAATTTATGGGTAAAATCCGATCCGAACCTGACCCGTCGACCCAATTTTATGTTTTTTTTTTAAAAATACATTTATTTTGAAAATTAATATTTGTTTATTGATTAAGTTTGATTGTTTGTCTACCATCGAATATTCATTTCACATCTTTTATTCTTATTTAACTATTTCCTATAACTCTTGCTTACATCTACACCAATCACCTCTTACACCACTTATCGACCCACACTAATTGCATCTGGATAACCCACATCACCGTCATGTCACCGATTAACATGCATGTCTAGTGATATTATGTCAAAAGAGATATTGTACGTATATACTGCACACATATAATAATGTTGTCCTCCTCCTTAAATTTTGGATGTTTAAAAGTTTTATTATTTTTAATTTTATTATCATTTTTTAGTAGTTTGGAATTGATGTGCTTTGGTGAAATGGTGACGATTTAAATTATGTAGAATGTTATGTCTAAAAATAATATAGTGAAAATCGATTAAAAATTCAGGAAAAAAAATTTGAAAAATTATGTAGTAGTAAATAAGCTTGAAAAATCATACGATTCTAAAAATAAGCAAAAATAATTTTATACTCATTGGGTTGATCTGAATCCAAAACTTTGGTTTAGGGGTTGAATATTTCTCTACCCGTGACTCACAGCGACTTGACCCAAAGACCGGGGTTACAAGAAATAACTCATAAAAAAATCCTCTTTTGGGCCCCACGCTACAAATTTTCATACTCTCTCCGTTTCATATTAATCACAATAATTTCTTTTTTCACCCGTTTTATATTAATTGCAACACTTTTACATTTAGAAAGGAACCACCATTATTTTATAATTTTTCTATCCCACAAACCAGACTTTCACAAATATTTTATTACTCTGTATTTCTCTTTCCTACCATTCCCAATTTCTCATCACTTAAGCTATTTTTTTATTTATTATTTTTCTATCTTACTATACTTTATACTTATATAAAAAAAACTTTTTTAGACTACAACTTATAAATTTTCTTAAACTTTGTAAACATCCTAATATTGCGATTAATACAAAACATTGTCAAAACCGATGGAGTAAACTTTTTAAACACACTAATGTTGCATTTAATTTAATATAAAATGAAGGGAGTATCTAAATTTAAAAAATATACTTTGTAAAAGGGATAGAATTATACATTGACAAAAATAAAAATAAAAATAAAAATAACCCAAATAAAAAATACTTGGTACGTGGCAATTGATAAGTGGTGATAAAATCATGCAGTAAACAAGAGAATGTATGCGAGCCACTAATCAAGCAAACAAGCGTCGTATAGTAAGTACGTGTACATTGGATATTTTTTGATTCAAGTGCCCTATAACATTTTATAAAGTAGTTCTAGTATTCTCTAGAACTTGTCTAGCTTCGATATCGCATGCAACAACATCAATTCACTACTTCTCATGATTGTTTTTTGGACCTCTAGATTCGAGCTTCTTGTGGTACATATGAAGATATTATCATGATTATTAAAGTGTAACCCATTGAAAATATCTACTCGTATTGATTTTATGATAGTTTAAGCATATATTGAATTTCGATAGCAAAATATATAATTGAATTTATTTGCAGCTATATTATTATTTCCTCTGTTTCATCTGTTTTTTAATACTTGAAAATATCGCATTAAATTATGAGGGAGAATGAAATTAAAAATAAATAAATAATGGCAAAACCCTATCATGTTAAATAATTTGCAATTATTTGAAGTATGATTAAGACAAGTGTTTGAGATTACTGCTTCTATAATAACTATAAAGTATGAGAACTATTTGACGTTCATATATCAATATGATTTGGTATATTTATATATAATTTCATGTATCATACATATGCATTTGTTATGCACTATGACATGCTTGTATACTTTATACGGAATAAGACTTATAATGTCGAGTAGCAAAAGTAGTTCATAGTGAATACATAGGGTTTAAGTTAATAAATAGAAATTTAGGGTTTGTTTTGATTTATTGAACTGAGCTGAATTGAATTATTTATGAGAGAAGGAAATTAGGAATTACAGTGAACTGAATAAAAATTAAGCTCATAAGAACAAATCCTCGGTTATAAAGCTACTATTTCAATAACGTTACATTATGATATGTGGTTATTTGTTTTTGATAGAGGGAACATCATTCATTCATTATATAATTAGGCGATCACCTTTTTTAGGGCTTTCTACAATTTATTTATTTTTTATTTTTTTATTTTTTTTATGGGATAAACTTACGTTGTTGCTTGCACACATATAGACATACACAAATATAGTTATTCTACAGTAGGAGTGTTATGGTTGTTCACTAGTACCAAAAAGTAGAAAAATGTGAAGCTTTACATTTTTAAACAAACACGTACATTGTTGCTTAATCTAATAAGTAATAGTCTTTATAAGAAATCACCTAAAAAATTAAGATAGACTTATAAGAGAAGGGAAATAATTTGCTAATTGTATTTAGAATTTTGTGTCGTTGCTTTATCAAATGGCTAAGGATTTCGTATCAATTCCCACAAAATTTTCACCGGTGTTTTAGTAATGTTGCAAAGCCCAAATTATAAGCCCAATTCACAACTATATTACATTTACAGCTAATGACATTCTAGAAAGTGCTGCGAAACTGTGGGCAGAGAACATAGTGTAATTATTGATATCGGAATCCATTTTGATGTGAAAACCTCAATAAAATCTCATCCGATATTGGATTTAATTGACTCTATCCTATCTTTTGTAATTAAGTAGAAAATCAACAATTAAAGGTAAAACAACTAATACTTAGGGGATATAAAGCTACTCCAAAAACCCTCTTATCATCCCCCATTCCTTTTATATTAAAAAAAATGTACCAATTCTTGGAATTCAAAATTTGCCAAATGTGTTATATGTGTCAATTATTTATATAATTAAGTAAAACTTTAAAAAAAGAGAGAGCGTGTAGTTGTAGATGATGCATGAAGATGAAGCAAACTACACGTTGCTGATGATAGAGAGAGAAAAATTAGCATAGAAAAATTGAGTCTTTAGTTTATTTGATTGGAGGAAAATACAAGAAAAAAAAACAAATATAACAATCATAATATATAAAAAGGTCAGTCTTCTCCCTTAATATTTTCTCTGTTATTTCAGTGTGATGAAGAAGAAACATCAAAAGTTTAAACCACTCCGAGAGCTGTATGATCGTGACGTTACCCTTTTGAAATCCAAGGCATGTTTTCTAATTCCAATGTCTTATTTGTTTTATGATGATTTTTATTCAATCTTCAGGGGTAGATTTTTCTGGGGTTTTTGCATGTTTCTGGAAATTTCGTGACTTTTGGGTTAAGATTTCATATCTGGGGTTTATTTTATTGTGAAATTGTGTTGGGTTTTGATATGGGAATTTGACGTTTAAAGGGTTTAATCAATGTGAAATTGTTAATTGTTTGAATTCCATTTTCATGAAAATTGATTGAAATGGTATAAAAATGCGAATTTTTTTTGTGGGGCGGTTTGTTTATTAGGTTTTTAATCAGAATTCTGTGGTTTATTATGATGGTTAATCGTGTATTTGTTTTATGTATGATTATGCTTGATCAATGAAATAATGGTGGATGCTGCACGTGTTATTAGTATAATAAAGGCAGAATTATGATTTATATGGGGATTTGGGAGATTAATCAATGTTTAATTGTTAGTTTAGGGTCGGAGGATGAAGCTGAATGAATTGGATCATGATTAATCATGCTGTAAATAAGAATGATTATTGTCGACTCTGTGTTTTGTATATGATGGATTGGTGGTATGCATTCCGCAGTCGAATAACCTTGTAAAGGTTGAATCTTTTGTGTTATTCCATTATACTAGAATTTCGAGGGTTTTAGCAATTATGTTTTTGATTATTTGCATCAGGAATTAGGTGCTTGTTGCTTAACTGAGTAATGCTTCAGGTATATGAAAAGGAACCCTTGTTTAGTTGTTTGTCTCGTGTATTCAACTCGTTGATGTTTCGTGTTTGATTCTTTTCCTCCCGAAAAACCGCATTTGAATTTATAAGCCTTTATGTGAATTTATTTTATGGCAATAGCATTTGGCAGTTCTTTTTGTAGCTTTCATGAGATAAGCTTCTCTGAGGTGTTCATATTCTGTAAAACTTCTTGGCAATTTCCTGCCTAAGAAGCTGAATTTTTATTTTATTTTACCCCCAAGTGCATACCTGGTGGGTGTCTGAAGTATGCATATATGGTTTTAGACGCCAAGGGGCGGGCTTGCTTAATCGTTACGTGGCTTATATTTTTGAATTTTTGATTTTCCGATATGATATATGGACTACTTATTAGTTGTTTGTCGACCTTGCTCCAACGAGTTTATCTTTCTACATGAGTACTTCTAGTCTTACTTAACAGTTTGTATAAATTTGTAAATTGTCTAGCATTGCTTTAACTGCTTTCTGCCTAATTGTGCAGTAACTTTATCTATCTATAATAATTATCCGGTAGAATCTGAATAATATCAAGAATATATTTTTCTAGTGGAATTCTTGTTAAATTCAAATGTCAATCTTTATGCCTTTTCATGCCTTCCTGGTGAACATTTTCTAGATTTAATTCTGAAATTTGCAAACAGGACGTTGACTTGTTGAAAGCCTCTCCGGAGTCAACTATAGATCAAGCTTTAGTTGTTGATCCTTCTCAGGATAGAAAAGGCGATAGTCACGGGAAGCTATCCAGTAGTGAAGTGAGTAACATACCTTCTACTTCTTGCCAGAGCTCATTTTCTGACGACCTTCAGAGTTTGGACTCTCTGAAATCTCCTGGTTACTCTAAAGATTTGCCAATGCTTCAAATTGCAATTACTTCTCAGACTACAGTAAAACGTCAGGATCAAGATGTTTTTGACTGCCAAGGGGACAACAGCTCTTGTATAAGTAAAGACGATGGTGCAGCTATGATTAGTAGTGATCAATATGGTGGTGAAGATCACAAAATAGTTACATCCCGAGCAGTTTCAGTTAGTAGCCCCTATCCTGATGTTTTGGAGAAATCTTTGAATGTTCTGTCTATTAGTAAAGGTTCCCCAATTGCCAGCACACAGGATCCCTGTCTTCAAAACCAGAATTTAATGCATGAGGACAGAGCAGATGAACCAGATGAATTGGTGGATGTATGTTTTTTTGTTAATGTTTACTCTATCTTTTCTTTTTTGGTGTGTGTGTGTGGGGGGGGGGGTGGGGTGGGTGGGGGAATTTAGTTGTCTCACTATTTTGAAACATAGTACTTGTAAGAAAAAGCTATTGCATAAATTGTTTGGTGGGTTTCTATTCTTGTAAGGTCATTGTGTCTGAACATGTTGAATTAGATTAATTAATCTCGCATAGTTCTCTTGTTTGTCATTTTAGTACTAAGAAGTAAGAAGCTGGCATGTTCTGTGTCAAATTGGATTTCGGAACTGCATCTGCATTTTTGGGACGGTTTACTGCATCTGCTTCTTTGCCATATTGTTCAACTGGTAGGAAGAGTCGGGTTTCATAGTTTGCCATTCCGGATATCTGCAAAAGTTATTACAAGCATTGCCTCATCATAGTAATGGATTACCTACATAAACTTAAATTGGATATAATCTATGTGTATAAGGTTCTAACTCAATTCAAAGCTTTTAAATTCTCTTCATTGAAACTAATAGTGAATATTTTCAAGTTTTTATCAGGTACATCTACTGTGGATTGTGTACATATTGCTGGAACTCAATTCAGAGCTTTTAGCTGGCCTATGCTAATAATTAAAAATAAAAAATAAAAACTTTGCAAGTCGTGCTCTAGGGTGTTAGCTATGGACGTGTACATGTTGCTGCAAAATATTGGGTCTACGCTGTCTCTAACCTAGACTCCTGCCCCTCTTCTACTTATTTTATATGTGACCTTACATGCATGCATGCATTTTTTGTGCATTTGGTACCAGCTGCCAGCACCCTGACTAAGGTTGCCAAGTGCTTAGATGATATCTTGTGTTTCTTAGAAGTTCTTCCTGAAGTCACGAGTTCTTGTTATCTGAATTGTTGCTACTTGATTGAGTCATACTTGTGTGTGGATTACTGGATTGACATAGCTTGTTCCATTTTGTATAGGTAAGAATATGTGATATTTGTGGTGATGCTGGTCGAGAGGCATCACTTGCTCTTTGTAGCAAGTGCAGTGATGGAGCAGAGCATATGTAAGTGATCATATATATACGTATTTTGTCTTTTAACATAATTGAAATTCCTGCAAAGCATTTATGATGATGCCCCTTTTTGCATTTTGTTTATACCATTAGTTACTGCATGAGCCCTAAAATGGATAAAGTGTCCGAAGGTGATTGGTTTTGCGAAGAGTGCTTGTTGATGCAAGATCCAAAGAGACAGAGGCAAGTTATGATGGAGGGACCAGACGATGCTCCAAACTCATCACGGATACAGGAACCTAGTCAAGGTTCACCAACAATTATATCTGCTATTCATCATGATGGTAAAATGAAGACAAATCATTCGAGTAAAGCTTCCTGCTCATCTGATAAGAGACCTGGGCTTGCTATAGATGTGAGATCAAAAGCAAAGAAAGGAATTGATGACAGAAGTGCTCAACCGCTGAAGATTTCTGACTCTGGAGGGAATTCGCGGTTGACTCATAGATCTTCATTGAAGAACATGAATGAGAAGAAAAATGCTTCTCGTCAGGTATCTTCTTTTGTTGTTCCTGATAACAAAATGGTGAAGCAAGGTTCATCAGAACATAGATCATCCAAACCTGAACAACAATCTTGTGGAGGCAAGTTGTTCCTGTTAATTCCCATGTCAATTGACAACGTGGTGGAGTGGGCATGTCAGTGTTCAGTTCATTTATGTCAGTAACTCAATGGCATTTTCTTTTCATTTGCAGGGTCTTTTACCGATAAAAAAATAGTTGACAGTTCTGTCTCAAATTTGGAAGTACAACACTCGAGGGAAGATATCCATCAAAGGAGAAGATCTACCGAAGATAAAGCTGACTGTGAACTGAAGAAGGATCATCCTGACAAGAAGGTGGTCGAATCTTTGTCATTGGCTGGTGCCAGCTCAATGCCTCCAGAGGTTTCAAATATGCAGTCTTCCGTTTCAAATATTAAGGGTGTACGATATGGAAATAAAAGCAACATTGCTGAAAAAAATTGTTCATTGGAGAGCAAGACCAATCAAGTAGATTTTCCTTCTGCTGGTTCTAGTCCTACAAATGTTAGGTCTTCTTGTGCCAAAGTGGCTCCCCAGATTGGTAAAGCGGCATCTTCACCCATAAAGAGTTTTGAGGACAAATCTGCCATCCAGGTTAATGGAAATACAAATGTTGAAGCATTTGATTCCCTTGCTCTTGAAGGCAAAAACCGTGTGAACACATCAGGTAGGATTCTTATTACATGTTCTGATTTGAGACTTTTGTTGAACTGTGGTTTGGTCAACAATGTTAAGGGACTTCCTCTTTCCGGTATTGCTTTTTTAATATTTAGTTTTGTTTTGTGTCGTAGCTGGATCTGTTGAAGAAAGTAATTCTCCCAATTGTGCAAGCTATGTGATCAATTCTCCAGCCAAAAATGTCAATGCATACCCTGATCTGAGAATGAGCTTATCCACTCAGAAGGCTGAGCTAGCCGAGATCAAAAGAAACAACAATGATGTTTCCTCTTTTACGGTTCAGCATATGAAAGTCAAGCCTACAATTGATCCGGTAAATCTTGACCATATGGCTCCCAACTTGACTTCTGCAGTTCCAGAATCTAGGTGTATTTGGAGGTATGCTCCTTTTGTTTTGTTTGCTTAGCCCCTCTTCTCTCTATCATCTTTCATGTTTATCTGTGGACCTCTTGGAGCATCTTAAATTAAAATGTTACCATATCATATTTATATAGGGGTACTTTTAGTTTGGAGAAAAGTGGGAAACTCCCCACTGACTGCTATGGGGTACAAGCACACTTATCGACTCGTGCATCATCCAAGATTGCTGATTTGGTTCTTAAGTTTTCTGATGAACTTCTGTTGAAGGAAGTGCCGCGATTGCACACTTGGCCCATTCAGTTTCAGAAGAATAATCCGAATGAGCAAGATATTGCTCTCTACTTCTTTGCTCAAGATTTGTGTAGGTTAGTAATCCTGTAATCCTCATCTGCCTTTCTAGTGAAAGATTTTGATTTCTTGCTTTTTAATTTCCTGGCATTTCATGCAGTTATGAAAGAAGTTACAGGATGTTGCTAGAAGGCATGTCAACCAATGATATAGCTCTGGAAGCGAACTTTGGAGGTTTTTAACTTCTAGTTTTTCCATCGAGCTTGCTTCCTGCTAGATCACATCGTAAGTATCTCTTTGCTACAGTGCTTTGTTTTTCTTATTAAAAGTAAACTTCCTTTGTTACCAAGTGAGTGTTTATTTCTAGGTGGTCTCAAAGATCTATGTGCCCTATTGTCTCTAATTGTTTATATTTTTTTGACTGGCTGGAATTCTCTGCCATTTTTGTGGGGTGTGTTTAGAATAAAGAATTTTGATGATTCTCGTGTCCCTGACTTGAACGTTGTGACTGTAAATCAAGGTGTTTCTTCACCTGCTACTTGTGGATCACAGAACAAATTTGTTTCTGCATTACTCTCTGGGAGCTCTGCACTTACATCATACAGCTCCATGCATGGGCCAGAATCTGTTAAACCAGTTGCTTTGCCATCTTTGGCTCTAGTCACGTCTAAAGAACAAAGTATTGAACATGAATTGCCTCCATTAAATAAACATATAGCAACTCTGAAATATCATGATTTCCAAGCCGATGCTATTACACCTGTCCGTGATTGGAGTAAAGAGGATTCCGGTGGGGGCCTTTATAGTTATGACTTGCAGGTATCATTCGCCTGAGTTCTCTGATTATGTCTTTGAATATTGCGGCAGTATGCACAGCTGAATATGTGTGGAATATATTTTGATTGAGTATTATCAGAACTTACGATACCAATACCTTTTCTTTACTTGTATTTATTAATTTTGGTCCCCATATATTGCTGTTCTTCAAGGGAGGTGAGTTATTGAGTGCAAGTCAACTGCAGCAAGTGAGAGTCCCCTTAAGTTGACTTGACACTGTATCACCTATATTGCTTGATAAATCTTACTCTTATACTTCTAGTTTTTTTCTATCCTTTGGGAGGAGGGGTTGGTGTTGGTAGAGATGAGATTCTAGTCAGTATGAGTTTGACAATGGTTTATGCTTAGGCTTTAGCTGTCCAAGTTTTTTTATATTGTATATGTGGCATGATCTTGTCTCACATTTATTCATTGCATCTTATTCTTTTTGCAGAAAAATAATACCTTCTCTGATAACGATATAAAGGGCCCCTATGAAGACTGATATTATTCCATGTGGCCAATTAGCGAGGGAACACACTGCAGAGGTTGGATTTCGCTCTGATTCAAGCTACAAGGATATGGGTTTTACAGCCTCTGAATTGAGGCAGGGGCATGACGTTTTCAGTGGGAATTCCTTTTCTTTAGACTCGGGACCATCAGGATCATCCGATGGTGGAGAATGTGCTAAATCAGCTGTTGAGCTGCAGATAGAGCCATCAGAGAATCCCAGGAGATATAATACTCTTAATCTCAACCACTGCTTAGACAATAGGTCAGGTTCAGAAGAATTGGACTTGGATTTAGCTCTTGGATTTCCCAGCAAAAGTGATTATGAACCTGAAATTACCCTGAATGATGGAATTGACCGAGACGGGGATGTTTCATTAGTTCTCTCTCTTGGGATGCCATGCTCAACTAGCTGACCTCTTCTAGGTAACCCAAGGTGTCGAGTACTTGGTGCGGTTGCTGCTGCTGCTGAGGGCCGGCTTTTATCCTCAGGCTTTAGGTATAGATGGTGTAAATAGCATATATATAGAGCAAAAGATAACTAATAATAATAATAATAGTTAGGTGCTTATATGAGCATATATAGTAGTAGCTAAGGGTGTGATGATAGATATAAAGGTTTCATACATGTGAGAATTGTTTCTTTTGAGCAGTGATAGAGATCTTTTCAGCGGCAGCACAAAATATTGTTTTCACTTATCTCCCTTCCTTTGCCTTTGATGTAATACTGAAGTGTGAATTGTCTAATTAGATTGTCTGCAGATTGGATATTTCTGAGCAGGTAATAGCGCCAAGGGGAACATAGAATCAGGTTGAAGATCAAGAATCATCAGTAATTGCTGAAGATAACTAATTTGTTGCTGAAGTAGTAATTTATTACAGCATTTAGTCAGTTTTTTAAAACTCTTAGTTTTGTGTTTTTGTTAGGAGTATCTTTTAGGAATAGTGAATAACGCGGAATTTTCGTAATAAGAGAGTAATATTTGAGTCTATAGTAGATGCTTATGGACTTCAAATTGTTGTATACAAAGTACATGCTAAATTTTTCAAATGATGACAACTCCAAAAATTATTACAGAGTACGTATTTCAAAGCTAAAGTGCCTAAATTTTGGTTAGGCTTGAACTTGCATTTTCTTATGCTACGTTCAACTCAGCTGATGAAAGTACTCCACCCCCCCCCCCCCCATGTTTGATTTGGCAAACTTCAGTACATGTACTTGTAATATATTTACGTGTTCTCATAAAAAAAAAATGTTAAGTTCATTTGATTTGAATTCAAAACAACTCATTCCCAAAAATCTGTACATCTCCATCTTTACTACTCCGTACAAACAACATTTTTGTTTAGACAATATGAATAACAATATAAATACGTACATGATAGCATCTGATGTACATGTACATACGTTACTTTGCCTTTACAATATAGAGACACCCGACTTTGCCTTTACAATATATAGACACCCGAGTGTATAATACAGAGTATATAGTAACGAGACTAACAACACAATTTGCAGGATCATGGGTTGGTGACCAACTTTTGTGGTGGTGGACAATGTACTGTTACATTCATGTGTGCACTACCTAAAATTGAATACAACTATACAAGTGACAAACAAAAATACAGAAAAGGACAGAAACCCAAGAGTATCTTTTGAGTCAATTTTCAGTGATTGGCCTGCCCTTGGATGTTGCTCATAATATCATGGAGTATAAATACCACATCTCCTCTTTCTCTCTCCTCCTTCATCCCCACCAAATCGACGGCAACAAATCCTTCTGTCTGCAACTGGTGGTGGTGGTTGCTGCAGGAAAAAGGAAGATAAAAAAAAAAAGGAGCAAACTTTATTTTCTGGGGCTCAATTTCATCATCTCTAACCTAAGGTTACATTCTTACCCACGTCCCTTTTGATTATCTTTTATCATTACTCTCATTTTTGTGGCTCTCTAATTCTGATTCTAGGAAACCCCTTTTCAATGATTTTATATATTTAATAGAATCCCAGATTCCCAGAATATTAAAGTAAATAATCCCAATTTTTATGGGTCAGCTTCCCTAATTGAGTTTCCCTCTTTCTGGGTTTCTTTTTAATTTGTTTAAATTCTTGCATTTTACTGGCTTCATGCTGTAATACTCAAATGGTATCCCTCTATTTCTTGAATGTTTGTTGAATTCGTTTAAATGTGATTATTTGACTAGTCTTATAGTGGAGATTTTTTTGTTTGAATGTAATAGTGTATGGATTAATTTTTTCAGATCGTATACTCTGATTGAGTGATTGAATTTGAAGCTTGATTTGAGCTTTTGTTGGCTGTGATTTGGGTTGCATAAGAATATTTTGTTGGTAAGTATTGACCTCAAATTTATTTCCAATAATTGATTCAGTCTCATTGATGTTTTTCATGTGAATGGGGTCTTTATTTTATTTTTTATTTTTATTTTTATTTTTTATTTTTTTTTATTTTTTTTTTAGTTATGTTGTTTTTCATTGATTTAATTAACATTCTGAGATCTTCATGTTTGCTTTATACATTTTAGCTGATCCGGCTATTGTTATTTGTTAGATTGCTGAAATCTTAAGATATACTTGTATTTTTTTCTGAGTGCTTTGTCATATGGTTACTTATTTCTCAAGGTTGTTATGTATTTAGATAATTGCAATAGTGAGCAGAGTTTCTGCTTGCTTAAGAACTTCAGAATTGGGGAATAATAACACCAGCCTGGAGATGTATATGTATCAGTATCACGATGTCAAATGCTTTTACTTCCTCGATTTAGTTGCCACTTTAGCACTTCATATCACACAATTAAAAATGACTGCATTACTTTCAGAAGTAAGAATTGTATTTTCTGATAAATTTCGTTAGGATAGGGGTTTAAGATGGTATAATTCTAAAAATAGTACTACGTATTTTTTTTTCTTTTCCATGATGGTGGTTGTTTTTGTGGTCTATAGCTTCCTTTTTTTTACCTCATAGTCAGTCATTGAACTCAGTCTCATAGACCAATGCTAACTGAACTTTGTTTCATCAAATACTTTGTAGCTCAAGAGGAGATTGTATTTTTGGGCATTGCGAAGTTTTATGACTTTTGTAAATCAACTACTAAAAAGATGACCTTGTTGAATGTATGATATAATCAATTATCTTGAAATAGGTCAAGAAATGGTGGCTACAGGGTAGGATAAAGTGGAGAGCTGAGTATCCTTCAGTTGAAAGCATTATATATGAGGGGCTTGTACAGTTTCAATTAGTTGGGAGGATTGATTCTAGGCATTTGAATGGTTTACGTGTGATTCAGCTGAATTTGAAGGATGAAAATAGTGATTGCAGTATTGGCTAAAGAATTTGAAGTATTCAGCTTCAAAAGTGCAAATTTGAAAATTGTGTGAGAATTTTCTGTTGATTGGTAAACCAAATGGTTATCCTTAAAAATGAATTGTGGTTGTATTATTATGGCAATCTTTGAAATTCATCATTGAGATTTTTGTCATCCTGTGTGAAAAAGATGTTTAGGTTTCTTCATTTGCTTTATATAGGAGAACTGGAACTGGATTTTACGGTTGCTAGTTGCAACACACAAACTTGCTGTCCAGTTTACAGTGTTATTGTTTACTAGAAGAATATGTTTATGTAAATCATGCCTTTTAATTTCTCTGAGATGTTCTTATATCACTAAGGGTCTTGGATACATCTTGATTTTGTGACTTCAGAAATGGGAGACGTAGCAAAGGACCTGACTGCTGGGACTGTCGGAGGGGCTGCTCAGCTGGTAGTTGGGCATCCTTTTGACACCATCAAGGTGAAGCTCCAAAGCCAGCCAACTCCCCTTCCTGGCCAAGCTCCCAGGTACTCAGGTGCTATGGATGCTGTGAGGCAAACAATAGCTGCAGAAGGTCCTAGGGGTTTGTATAAAGGTATGGGGGCCCCACTTGCTACTGTTGCTGCTTTCAACGCCGTACTTTTCACAGTTAGGGGCCAAATGGAAGGCCTGTTAAGGTCTGAACCTGGGGCACACCTCACAGTTGGCCAGCAAGTTACTTGTGGTGCTGGAGCTGGAGTTGCTGTCTCTTTTTTGGCATGCCCCACAGAATTGATCAAGTGCAGGTACAATGACAATGCAATCTGCTTCCCTCATTTATGTTTTTTCCTTAAATTTGGTCAGAATTTAGATGTGATTGCTTGCTTACCTGTGTATTTCACTATCTGGAGGCAACATGTTGATTTACTGGTATATTTGAATAGGCTGTGCTGGCCAGAATACTATTATTTTTCTTCTTCTGTTTCTTTATTCCAGAAAAGAGCTTTTTTTAATATGCTTGATTCAAGCATTGGCAGGTGTCTTGATTAGGACGTGTTCATTTGTATTGTTGGGATTGTAACTATGACCCTATGCAGTTCTTGTGCCCTGTTGTTTGGTTGGTAATTGCTTCTGATTTCTTTAATGGTTTGGCTAACTGTTCTGCCTAAATTGTGGAACTTCCAATCGTGAGAAATTTGTAAAATTCTTACATGTTACACAGAAAAATAAATGTTGATTGATGTCATGTCTGAGAATTTAGAGATCTCACAGATACACAAATTATTATCTAAGATTCTAAGCACACCTGCAAATTACAGCAGTGATGAGCATATGTAAATTGTTGTTGTGAAAGTGGAATGTATTATAAATGTTTTAGATCAAAGTAAATAGACTTTTTCTGAAACATCCTCTGGCAAGGACAGGTTGCAGGCCCAGAGTTCCCTGGCTGGAGCTGGCGCAGCTACAGTGGCAGTTAAGTACGGAGGACCTATAGATGTAGCAAAGCATGTCTTATCTGAAGCAGGTGCAAGGGGTCTATTTAAAGGCTTGGTCCCTACTCTAGCCCGTGAAGTTCCGGGCAATGCTGCAATGTTTGGGGTGTATGAAGCTGTCAAAATGTACTTAGCTGGTGGCCATGATACTTCCTCGTTGGGTAGGGGCTCTTTGATTTTGGCAGGAGGTATAGGTGGAGCTTGCTTCTGGGGCGCAGTGTACCCGACTGATGTGGTGAAGAGTGTTATCCAAATCGATGATTTTAAGGCACCCAAATATTCTGGCTCCATAGACGCGTTCAAAAAGATATTAGCAAGTGAGGGTGTCAAAGGATTGTACAAGGGGTTTGGTCCTGCAATGGGTCGGAGTGTACCAGCAAATGCAGCTTGTTTCTTGGCTTATGAGATGACTAGGTCTAGTTTAGGGTGACTTAAATGTTCCCTTTGTTAAAAACTATTACTGATTTGACTTGTTAATGTTGATAATTCTTTCAAACGTTTGCTCAAATCATTTTTTACCCCTTGAATAAAGTGTGGGAGAAAAAGTGTTGGTTTACATCATATTTGGAAACAGTGTGGTAGAGTAGAACTAGTATGAGCATTGAGAGGCGATGAAGTCGAAAGATATCTTCATACAACAGGCCAATTCCTGAACAATTGTAAAGTCTGATAAATGAATCTTTTGTGTATACCTTACGAGTATTTCGCTTGAAGTGCTGCTCGTTGATATGCATCACATCACATACAAGCATACATGCTTGAGGCCTTTGAGTAACTAACGCGAGGTGTGTCCATAATTGACTAAATCAGTTCATAGGAAACAAATCAGTTCTCTATCCTTTCCAAGCCTAAAAAAGTTAATATTCTCTAAAATTGAAGGTTATACATGACTTCATATGAATTTTGAGAAATATTTTGAAAGTGAAGTGGATATGGAAGGGGTCTCCAAGTACCTTTCAAAATATCTAAATAGTAGATTATTAATACAATAAGGTATTAATTATGTGTCGAGCTACAAGGTAATGTAAAAACAACCCGATACATCGCACGTGTATAGAATTGAAGAGGGTAAGAAGCAGAGTAGGTATCTATAATAAAAATAACATTCGAGTCCACAATAGTAAATAGCATGTGAATGCTGCCATATTTTATCCGATCAACTTCACTAAACACATCCATCATCCATGCCTCATTAGCAGCCACATTTAATGGCCACAATATCGTGTAACACTAACAGACACTCCCATAACACATGCCTTCTTTTTTCAGTCAACACTTATTTCTTGCATTTAAATGTGCATTTCTCCTAACTTCCCATCTCTTTATAAATATTTACTTCATTTTTTGTTCTATCAAATTTAGATTCTTGTATATATATATTTATCTCTAAGAATATCTCGTCTAAAAAAGATGGATGGAAATCTGAGAAAATCTCTGTCTTCAAACTCTATGCCTTCTCTGAATTCTAGGCTTGATCACTTGGATTCTACGGTAAGCAAGTTTATGATTTATCTTATACTATAAAGGAAGTCCATTTTATTAAGTATGTTCTACTATGTAACGTATAAGTTGTATTAGTATATTATGAAACATTGTACTAAAATTATACTTTTGTATGAAGATTAAATATTTGGAAGGTAGGAAATGTTCATCAGCAAGATGGACCAATGATGGTGCAGGACTTGGGGCTGTGAACAGAGATTGCATACCAATTGACTTGGCTGTCAAGGAGGCTCAATCCAAAGGTTCGATTTTGGATCGAATCACGTCTCTCGAGGAACGATTAATCCAGGTAAATTCGTGATTAGAGTTATATAATTGTACATGGATTCAGTTAATAACAAAGTTGTATAGTCTATATACAATATACTCTGCAAGTATCTTATTGTTTGAATTCCTGGTTTACTAATTATCGTACAAGCATAAGAAAAATTCAACACAAAAAACTGTGCTTTCACAATGAGTGTCAAATCATATGTAGCGCTAAAATCACTTTTCTAGCGTAAAAGTTTTGAAAAGACTTCTATTAGCTAAAAGTTTTATTGCGTATGGTTTTCCCTACCCTTACCGGCCCATATCATGCATACTCATTTATAAGAGCTAATAAATGCATCCGGCCTCATTTTTTTTGTGTTCATTCTTCTCCTTAACGGTCCTTTATTTAATTTTGACCACATATCCAATCATTAAACAAAAGATTTAAATAAATATCACTCCGCATTTTAGGTTCAAACTAAAGATTATGATCTTTTATTCTTGAACTTGTTAATCTTAATTGCGTCTGTCAATTATATAACATGGTAATTGTTGTGACCTCGCAAACTCGTATGCACATGGGACTATAAGCTCACATCCATACTCTATGCAAATATGATGTATAGGTATGCTCACTCATTGAATCTGAAGCTGGTTTGTCTCCATCAAAATACTCTCAAGAAGAAACTTCTCCTCGAATATCAAGAAAGGGATTTTCCAACTCTTTTTCTAGATTTAGGCTGCCTCGTCGTAGCAACAACAAGCAACCAATATCCCCAACTTGCATGGACGAACTCCCGGTATTATCTACGTCTAATTTCAGTCATTTCGTAGTGATTAAACAAGATGCGCGTAATTTGCTAAACACGATATTAGTTTTTATGAGAATGTTTAAACAATATGTAAATAAATTGATGTTTTTTACACAGATTACAGAGGAAAAAGAGCATAATGCCAAGACAAAGCAAGATAAGAAGAGTAAGGGTGACAAATCTTCTCCAAAACAAAAGAAATTGGTTCCTTCTAGTTTGTTACATTTGAGATTATTGGGCTGCTCATGATTTGGTTTCATTTAATTTTTTTTTCACTTGTGTATTATGTCAAACATACTTGTATTAATCTAGGTATTCATGTTGTGAGACTTGTGACTATGTCTCCAAAGAGTATTATCTTGTTTAGTGGTAACTAATAATGGTACGTAGTAAGTATGAATTTGTGTATGATTAGTTTTTGTTAAGGAGTGACCTTTCAAACAACACATGTAAGTGTCCTACATCAATAAATTATGAAAAAGTTAACACTGTATAGGGTTAAGAAGTTAAATGTCCTAACTTCATATGGTTTTGGAACGTAAACTTGTTCGACTTGTTAAGTAGACTCTCTATCTCTTGTAGAAGGGTGCATCCCATAACCATGTTAACAATTCCAAAGTGCTTGACTATTTTTGTTTGAAAAGCTGAAAGGTCTCTACAAATGTGTGTGTTGTGTAATAATGCTCCACTTAAATCTCCATACAATAGACCATTTGGACAATAAGGGCTACTAAGGCCCTTTTTTTTTAGGAAAAAAAGACACTAAGGTCCATTTGGACAATAAGAACTAAGAAGGCCAATTTGGAGCTAATGGGCTGACTGTTGAGTGGCCTTTCACAGTTTCACCCTTTTTTTTTTTGGGTGTGTGTGTTCTATCCGGTTCACCCTTTGGGCTAATCCGGATTTGGAGATCAGTTTTGGGTGGTTAGGTTCTAGTCCCCTCCCAATTATTGTTACGGGGGATTGAACACGAGTCCTCCCTACCAAGTGTAGTCTCAATCACCAATACAACAACAACCAATTGGTTACCGCAGTTTATGTTTGTTATCCTTCTTGTAGGATTAGCAGATTAGCCAACAACATTCTTGGAATTCTAATTAGTTCAAATTAAATAAATAATAATTGTGATACAATCACTTTTTGTTTTTTTGAAAGGTGTGATACAATCACTATTCAAATAGAAAAACTTTTAAAAATGGAGAAATAAAAATTTCACCATTTCTTAATATGTGTTCGTATTTGACTTTTATAATATGGAGTATTTTATCAAAATGTCATATTAGCATACATATCGACAAAACAATAGCACAAATATTAAAGAGAGTATTTCCTAAAATACTTCACTTAATATGTGTTTCAATTTAAGTTTTATATTATTTACAACACTATTTTATCAAAATATCATATTGACATTTGTATCCACAAAAGTAGAGCACATATATTGAAAGGAGTAAGTCCTTAAATACTTCACTTCACACTAAATTTTTAGGCCATGTTTGGTAAATGGCATTTTTGTTAACTTTTGGCTTTTGGCTTTTTTATGAGGTCAAACAGTCAAAAAATGTGTTTGATAATTGGCTTTTTAGCTAGTGAAAAAGGTGGTTTTTAAGCCAAAATGAAAAAGCTGCTTTGAGTAGCTTTTTTGTTGGCTTGTTGGCCCACAAATTATCTAATAAACAGCCAACTACCAACAATTAATTTACCAAACACTTTTATAAACAGCCAACTTTAACAACCAATTTCAAAAGCCATTATAAACAGCCAAACATACCAGCTGGTCAAACAAGCCAAGTGAACCAGCCAACAACCACTTGCCAAACAAGGCCTAAAAAAAACCTCAACCTCTAGGAAAAGAAGCAGTAAAATAGGGTCCAATAGAAATCTGAACAAACTTTGAACCAAAGTCTGTCGAATAATAATTATACCAGAGACAATTGTACTATTGTTGTTAACCAAATGACATAGAATACAGAGATACAGATAATGTATTATATCTGCCTCCCATCAAATAAATAATACAGTAATAAGAAAATTGATGAAGAATAAGAGGGTGAGAAATCTGAGTAAAGCAATTGACATAAAAAGCAAAAAAATGTGCCGCTTACGGCAGGTATTTTATTCTTTGGTTCAATATTCAGCTCATTTACAGCTTATATAAATGTACTACCCATGACTATTTTGTACATACAATTATGTTTTCTAATTCTTTTATTACAGTCTTCTTTCAATTATTTTTCTTCCTTACCTATTTTTGGAAGTGACCCTTTTCCTAATTTCATTTAATGCCGTCACTAATAATTACGTGTAATATTAGTTTGCGTTATTATACGGAAACGGGTGCAAGGATAAAGTTGTGATTAGAATTGTCAATTATTAGATCGTTGCCTAAGTAAGCTATGAGCCTATGACCTAGTTTGGAGTATAAAAAACTCATGTGAGCTAATGTATGAGATTGCAAGTCGCACATGATCCCAAATTTGTTGTTCATGGGATTTTACATGGTAATTTGGCTTTATTAGTGTCATTGCCATACTTGAACATGTTGATGGGGCAGACAAGCGCCATTGGATGTTATCCGAAAAATAATTTACTACCCAATCTTATTATGTTTGTATTGAAATTTTGAGATGTACTCTTGTAATTTATGATAAGTATTAACCAAATAATTGACCACCTTTGACATTTATTTTTGATGGGTTTTATTAAGTAATGCTAATATAAATACACACAAGTAATCGATATCATATATATCAAAATATATCAAATGTATTCTCCCATAATTATCCTAACAAAAGTACATGTCCCAAAGGCCTAATCCAGATCACACCCCTTTAATCTCCTTGAGCACGTAACATATTATGACGTAAATCACGTAATGACGCCGAGGTTAATTGGTGTGTAGTGTACTAGTGTGGTGTCCACTCACAAAGTCCCAATCTATATATTTTAAGCTAGATCACTAATTAATCTTCAAAAAAAAAAAAAAGATCACTAATTAGCTTCCTTGGTTATTTATAAATAATAACTGGTTTTAATAAGTTAGAGTTAACAATATGAAGTAGTTTTATTTAAGACGTAAAATTTAGAGAGCTTTACAAAAATATGAGTGAACTACCCTACCCTTTTTATGGACGACTTTTATTTCAATACTAATTTTATACTCCCTCTACCCCTTTAAGTAAAAATGTGAAATATTTGATAAGAATTACGAAGTAACATGAGCTAGCGTAGTAGCGTGTACAGAGGAATGAATTACTCCGTATATAGTATTGACTATTGAGCATACAATAGTTGCATCACTTTCACCTCTTTCTTGTTATATTATGTGATTTGAAGGCCTTAATTTCTTTTTTTCTTTTTTTTTTTTGAAATCCTTGATTAAAATATTTTGCATAGTCAATGTTTTAATTTTTTATTATAATTTGAATATCAAAGGAGCGAGTATCATAAAAATGAAAAGATCAACCCATAATTCCACAAACGTTATTTTTAAAAAAAATTGAAAAAAACGAGTAAACAGTCTGAACATCGAAATTATGATTATACCCGTGTCCATATCAATTTTTTCTAAAAAAAAAATCTAAATTCGATGTGAATCCATTAGGAGTTCAGGACATACTCATAAAAACAGATCGAAATCTACGAATCCAGATCCGCTGTCATCCCTAACAACCCAAGTGGTTCATACATTCGAATCAAATAAACAAATTGTCCAACGAAAAAAAAAAAAAAAAAATCCAAATTAACCCAAATGAAAAGCGAAACATTATAAACACACCCCCCAGAAATAAACCCAACAAATCCTTATCAGCCCCCACTACCCCCCACACACGACACACCCACTCTTTCCCTCTCATCTCCATCCTCTCTCTCCTCCTCAAATTCCAACAAATGGCGGAAACCTCTTCAATAGAAGATCCTCCTCAACAATCCTCCTCCCACGACCAGCCCGACACCACCACCCACCATCTCTCCCCTCCTCCCGGCTTATCCCACCAAGAATTCACCTCCCTCATCCCCTCCATCACCGAGTTCCACACCTACCGCCTCAACAAATCCCGCCAATGTTCCTCCCTACTCGCTCAAAAAATCCACGCCCCACGCGCCGTCGTCTGGTCCATCGTCCGCCGCTTCGATAAACCCCAGACCTACAAACACTTCATCAAAAGCTGCTCTGTTCGCGACAACTTCACTCTCTCCGTTGGATCCACGCGCGATGTTAACGTCATTTCTGGCCTCCCTGCTGCTACCAGCACCGAACGCCTCGATATCCTTGATGATTCCCGCTTTGTTACTGGCTTTACTATCATCGGTGGTGAACACCGCCTCCGTAACTACCGCTCTGTTACGTCACTTCACCCTGTTAACAACCCAGATTCCGGCGAGGATGACGTCACTATTGTTTTGGAGAGTTACTTAGTTGATGTTCCTGAAGGTAATACTGAAGAAGACACGCGCCTTTTTGCTGATACTGTTGTTAAGCTTAATCTTCAGAAGCTCGCTTCCGTCGCCGCCGCGGTCTACTCCGGCGACGCTGCAGCCGTCGAAAACAGGTGATTGTGATTGTGGGGTCTTTTTTTTTTTTTTTTTGAAATTGAATGAAAAAAAAAAAGTGGAGGGAATCTGAATCTGAGACGTAAAATTACATTTTTCAATATTTTTTTTTTATTATTTACTCTTTTGGGTAAATTTTAATTTCAATTTTTCTTTATTGTTGGAAAATCTTTACCCCATGAAAAGAAAAATGAAGTTAAATACAGTGCTGTAGTTGAAGTTTAAGCACGTTGAGATGGTTGATGTTGATGGAGTTTTTATTTAAGGAAAATGAAAAGAAATCTTCCTTTTACCAATTTTGTATTTTGTACACTTTATATTACTTAGTTACTTACACTAGCATGATAATATTGTGTTTTTCATTCATTTTATTGCTGTAGGCCCATTTTTATTGTTGAAAGAGAAAATATGGATATTAATTAAGGATTTCATAACTTTTGAAATTAAGTTATATTAAGGTGTAATTACTGATTAGGTTTATTGATTATGCTTTCATAATTTTTGTAGTACTTCGAATATTAACATTAAAGTAAATTTCCCTTGCATTATTAGCTTTTTTTTTTTTTGAGGGAAAATTGCATTATTAGCTTAACATTTACGAAGTTTTATATGTACTACGCCTTTTATTTATTATATAGCAAAAATCAATATGAGTATCTTCCTAAAGCAATATAATATATGGACTACATATTATTGTTTTGAACATTGCTTTGTAACTTTCAGACTAATTTAAGAAGATTAATTCAAAGACGATATATTCTAATAATTATTAAAAATAAATTAAGATGAGTATAATTAGGATTTTTTTATGTCAATTATTCATTTTAATTTTTATCAGCTAGTTTAGGTCATGCAAATGTAGAGAGTTGACTTAATTGATAGTTTATTTAAGTCGCGGTTAAAGACGTATGGAATCAATTCGACCAATTCCTACATCTTTAAAAAAAAATTAAAAAAATACATATAATTGAATAATTTGTCCACTTAATTATTTTCATATGAATTGCCTTTTATTTATGGTTTTCAATCATGTGAATGATTCCTTGATTTTTTAATGGCAAATTATTTTCAAGTTTAATGTGAAAATAATATCATGACGGAGTCTTGTAGTTATTTATTTATATATTTATTTTTCTTGAGAGGAAAGTAATAGATTACAATAAGAAATTTAATCTCCTTAAGAGTAGCCAACTTGGATTAAAATAGAATATGTAGTATAAAAGAAAAGAGAGGAAAACTTTACGGAGAAGTGGAATTACAATTTAGAATGACATCAACTTGACAAGGGAGTATGAGTTTCTACTTATAAATAAAGTTATAATTAAAAATAGATTGTTTTGAATGTAACAATTATTCTCGGATTCGATATACGGTTTTTATCTTAATTATAATTGAAAATTAGAGTATATGCTCAAAGCTTTTATATAAACCTTTCAACTTATTGGTTTTTTTTTTTTTTTTTTTTTTTTTTTTATGTTTGATTTAGAATCACGCTAACATGAATCACTGAAGATGCCAGTTGACCTCTCTAATGGTTTATCAACTTAATTATAAGCATATTCTAGCTTTTGGGGAAAATATAGTTGAAAAAACCTTCAATAGTTCAATATAGGGTTTTTTTAACTCTCTTTTTTTTCCTTTGAGTTAGGGACAAAATGTGAAATATATTTTAATGTCGGCAAATTAGTCAACAAGAAGGTGAAAAATGAAATATATAATTGAGGTATATGAAGAATAAAAAATCCGATGAAAGACTTCATATGCCATGGATAAGCCATAAGGTCAAGGAAAGAGTGTTACTATTTGGAGTAATAGTCCAAACAAAAAGGTTGACATAATTTATTATTATGCTCATATATGGATAAGAGCTAAAAAAAAGTCCAACCAACACAAACCTAATTCGTTAGGATTAAAGGGTAAACAAAGGCATAGTGTAGAAGATCCTAATTTTGAATGATTGTGAAATTACTAAAATTTGAGCTACGTATTCCATTAAGCTATGGTTTAAGACCTAAACCAAGTTAATTGAGAAATATAACTAATTAACTATGTCCACTATGTGATTAAAATCTTACTCAATTTGTTCTTTGATGTAAGGGTATGTTCAATTTATCGGATTCTACTAATTTAACTTACTTAGTTTATTAGAAATTATCCTCTTCACCATTTTTATTTTTTTTTTGATAGAAATTATCCTAAATTAATGGAAGTATAATTTATTTGATTTTTAAACTAAACTAGGTAATTTTTTGTTTACTGTTCAAAAAATTTATTCAAACATTTTGAACTTATTATATCTAAATTATTCAAATAAGTGAAAATAATGAGAACAAAACTGCAAAACAAGGCCTAATAAGTGTGTAGTATGGAGTATATTATCTCTATAGGCAAAAGATCAATAGAGTATAATAAGAAATTAGGTCCACAACGTTGTGAAAAAATGGAATAAAGATGGAAATTTTGTAAGACGTACGCGGACTTCTTAATGGATGGAGAGAGTAATTGTGATCAATAATTGTATCATATACCAAAAAAAATAAATTAATAAGCCCTAGTGAATTAGGTTAAATAATAAGCCTTAGTGAACTAGGTTAAAATTTTAAACAAGAGTTGGCTAGCTCAAGTGGCAAGCAACTTGATGTCGCTTATGAGAAGTCTCAGGTTCAAACCTCAATGTATACCCAAACTCTTGCTGGGAGACTCACCCACCATAAGTCAGGTGTGTGATCAGATCATCCGGGTCGGATCCAGATGTAGTCGCAGCTAAGCTCCAATAAATCGGGTGGACATCCTTAAATAAAAAAAAATAAAAAAAAAGGCTAATAAATCAATTTCAATTCCATTGACAATCATGGAGTAATGCATGTGTTAACCCCTTTCTATTCAAATGATAATTTAGTTGGCAAGCTTTCATGCTAATAGTAAATACCAATCAAATTGTGATAATCTATTCTTTTGTTACGTATTGGCACATAATAGATTTTACGCTCTATTTACAACTCTAGCCTTTTTTGCCTAATAAATATAACCCTATGCTAAAATGTTGAACTTGTACTTTTCTCATAGTGAAACACCCTGTCTTTAAATTAATTAGCCATTCTCTCCTTTTCAAAGATGGATATTATTTGAGTTATCTCGTCGTTGAGTCGTAAATTATGATTAAAGATGTGTTACCCTTTATATTTATAAAAGAATGTTTAAGGAATTGCTTATACGACACTTTCTTTTGTGTATTCCTTTATTCTTACAAAGACATGTAAATATAGGTAAATTATAAAAAAAAAAATAATAATAAGGAAATTATGTTAGATTCCACCTTTTAAATCTTTGTTTTTGTAAAAAAACCACGCACCTTTAAAAAATAAATGTTGTTAATAACCACCAAAATTATAATTAACAACTAACAATTAATCAATAATTAGTTGCCAATGTTCATCTTCATGCGGAAGGTGGTGAAGACCAAAGCTTTTATTTACTTCGTATTTATTTGTTTTAATGAAGACCAAAGCTAGCTTCTTTTTTGTTTTAAAAAAAATGTTTCATCTAATTAATTAAACCTCTATAAACCACGAAGTATATTCTTAATTTGGCCAACCTAGCTATTGCAAACTATGTATATATTTAATAATGCATTTATGAAAATTAGATATTTGAATAATCAAATAAATAATCAACATGTAAATGAGGAGTAATTGTCTTACATCTATGATCTATGTGAGCTCATGAGTCGTGCATACAATGTAAAATTTCATTTTTACTCTTGCTATACTAGAAGTTAGAGAAGTTGCATTGAAACAAAGATGTCACCTCTCAGTTTTCAGGGACAAAACAAATTAAAACAAATTTCTCTATTTAAGCTCAAGGTGTTTTTATCCAAATTAAGTTTATAAAACCTGATTTGGGATGATTGGATTTTTACATGTATGATATATATATTAGTTTGGTCTAGTCTAATCATTTTTTAAAAAAATTTCCTATTCAATCAATCATTACTTATGTATGTTGTTAGAGGATCAACTCAATCAAAAGCTTAAGCTGATGATTGGGTCACGTGTTCGAATCTCATCCACCCTTCCTTTCAAAGTGGAATATTTTGCGTAGGGTATGCGGGAAGCCCATGTTGCATCCATATTTCAAGCCCAAAGGACTTTCATGTGAAGGGACATGATAGAGTATAAAACATCTTCTTGGGCCTCAACCATCAGCTTAAACTTCTGGTTGAGTTGGTCCTCTAACATATGTATTATTTGACTTTGGTTTGAAATTGTCTACACTACTACATACTTCGTAAGATTTTGAACAAGAATAGATAAGCATGAAAAAGAATAAAGTGAGGAGAACAAAGCTTATGATATATACACGTATTATAGGCTAAATGCTGATTACCTTACTTCAAAGAACGAAAATCATACTAAAATGTAAAATTAGTGGCAATCTTGGATAACAAAATTTGAAAGGTCCAAACTTTTTAAAATCTTATTCTCTTTATCAAAAGAAATACCTAACCAATAAATCATTTGAGCCCTAATGAAGATAGTCAAATTTCCTTCCAAGATGGAAATGTTATTGCGGCTCATCAAACCTACTTAACAAAAAAAAAGGCAAAAGTGAAAGTAAAGCTCTTTTTGGAGAACTTATTAGAACTGTCCTTCAAGTTCTTCCAAATCCTAGCAATTTGATTGGTCAGTTCATTTGCAAATTAGGTTAGTAATCAATCACAAATTTGATGGACGCCGTTGGTTGATACATCATACATGAAAATATATTATATGACGTAAATAAATAATAATCATGATTATGCTCAATAACATAATATGATCTCCCACTCCTCTATGTATAAATATAGTACAGTCAGTGTAATTGATTAACTGTGTTGGGTCCCATTAACATAATTGTATGTAAGACCATATATTATTATGTTATGTTTTTGTGTTGCTTATTAAGCAATGAGCTCATAATCATACTTTTGGCTGCTAGTGTTTTGTTGAGATGGTGGAGCTTAATTCAATAATACTATCTCTTTATTAGCTAGCTAGGCATATTGCATATTCAAGCTAGTATCTGTTGCTTTCAAACAATAAGCTATAATGCTATATGCCTATAGCTAAGGCTATAATCCGTGCATCATTTACATATTTAAGCTTCTTTAACACATAACTCTGATCACATCAGTCACATAATCTATCGTGACTTTAATTTTTCATGCGTATAATATAAAACACACTAGATAGATAAATAAATAAGATCCTGCGAATAGTTAAAGATCAACATATATAGTATAGTGCAACACGCCTTATTTATGAAGTAGAGGAAAAATAAACAAAGAAAATAACCAACTAGAGTTAGCTCAAAAGGCAAGCGACTTG